GGAGCCGGGGGAAGGAACGGAGGAAGGAGCCGGGGGAAGGAGCGGGGAGAAGGAGCGGGGGGAAGGAGCCGGAGGAATGAGTGAAGGAAGGAGCCGGAGGAAGGAGCCAGGGGAAGGAGCGGAGGAAGGAGCGGAGGAATGAGTGAAGGAAGGAGCCGGAGGAAGGAGCCGGGGGAAGGAGCGGAGGAAGGAGCGGAGGAAGGAGCCGGGGGAAGGAGCCGGGGCAGAATGTCCAAGGGACCGAAACGGAGTCGCTTACACCTGCCCACGGCCTATGGACCGGCATCGTGGCGACGGGCCTGGGGGAGAGTCTCCATCCAGCAGTGGATAGACCGCGGCTTACGACGGCGGCAGCGGCATGCCCGCTGCGAGCGGTGGGCACGCGGGTTCAGAGTCGTGAAGGGGGCACAAACGACGTGTGGTGTGGGCAGAGAAGGGGGAGACGCTCCTGGGATGGTCTGCGGGCATCTATAAGTCTACGTGTATCTCTGTCTCTACGGGTCTATGTATCTCTATGGGTCTCTATGGGTCTATGTCTATGGGTCTCTATAAGTCTATGTATGTCTATGGGTCTCTATAAGTCTATGTGTATCTCTGTCTCTACGGGTCTATGTATCTCTATGGGTCTCTATGGGTCTATGTCTATGGGTCTCTATAAGTCTATGGGTCTCTATAAGTCTACGTGTATCTCTGTCTCTACGGGTCTATGTATCTCTCAGAGTCTCTATGGGTCCATGTATCTCTATGTATCTCTGTCTCTATGGGTCTATGTATCTCTCAGAGTCTCTATGGGTCTATGTCTATGGGTCTCTATAAGTCTATGTATGTCCATGGGTTTCTAGAAGTCTATGTATCGCGGAGTCTCGATGGGTCTATGTATCTCTATGGGTGCCTATGGGTCTATGTATCTCTATGGGTCTATGTATCTCTATGGGTACCTATGGGTCTATGTATCTCTCTGGGTCTATGCATCTCTCTGGGTCTATGTATCTCTATGGGTGCCTATGGGTCTATGTATCTCTATGGGTCTATGTATCTCTATGGGTACCTATGGGTCTATGTATCTCTATGGGTCTATATATCAATATGGGTCTATGTATCTCTATGTATCTCTGGGTCTATGTATCTCTATGGGTACCTATGGGTCTATGTATCTCTCTGGGTCTATGTATCTCTCTGGGTACCTATGGGTCTATGTATCTCTATGGGTCTATGTATCTCTATGGGTACCTATGGGTCTATGTATCTCTCTGGGTCTATGTATCTCTCTGGGTCTATGTATCTCTATGGGTACCTATGGATCTATGTATCTCTATGGGTCTATGTATCAATATGGGTGCCTATGGGTCTATGTATCGCTATGGGTGCCTATGGGTCTATGTATCTCTATGTATCTCTCTGGGTCTATGTATCTCTATGGGTCTATGCATCTTTATGGGTGTCTATGTATCTCTATGGGTGCCTATGGGTCTATGCATCTCTATGGGTGTCTATGTATCTCTATGGGTGCCTATGGGTCTATGTATCTCTATGGGTGCCTATGTATATCTATAGGTCTATGTATCTCTATGGGTGCCTATAGGTCTATGTATCTCTCTGGGTCTATGTATCTCTATGGGTGTATGTATCTCTCTGGGTGCCTATGGGTCTACATTATCTCTATGAGATACATAGTGGGAGGGGCCGGGGCAAGCAGGCGTCATGGTAGAGACCAACAATGGAGTGGCAGTCCAAGGAGGGAGTGAGGGATCACTCGCCCCCCGCTAGCGGCTCGCCCCCCGCTAGCGGCTCGCCCCCCGCTAGCGGCTCGCCCCCCGCTAGCGGCTCGCCCCCCGCTAGCGGCTCGCCCCCCGCTAGCGGCGCCCCCCGCTAGCGGCTCGCCCCCCGCTAGCGGCTCGCCCCCCGCTAGCGGCTCGCCCCCCGCTAGCGGCTCGCCCCCCGCTAGCGGCTCGCCCCCCGCTAGCGGCTCGCCCCCCGCTAGCGGCTCGCCCCCCGCTAGCGGCTCGCCCCCCGCTAGCGGCTCGCCCCCGTAGCGGCTCCCCCCCCCCCCCCCCCGCTCGCCCCCCGCTACGCCGCCCCCCCCTAGCGGCTCGCCCCCAGTGGAGACGGAGCGACGAAATGGGATTGTTGCGTGGCAGCCGGGGCGGATCGCTCCGTCGGAGGCTCCACGGAGGGGAGCGGTGGCGCAACGGTTGGCACAGCGCTACCAAACGCGGCCACCCCAGGGGTTCGATCCCCGCCCACGGCCAACACCGACACCACAACGACGATTATCCAAAACCGGTCCCGGGCCCTCCCCTAGGTCGACTCGGCCTCAAATGAGTAACTGCACGCGTGCGTGTGTGCGCGCACGTGTGTATCTGTGTGTGTGTCCGTGTGTGTCCGTGTGTGTGTGTGTGCGCGCGTGTGTATGTGTGTGTGTCCGTGTGCGCGCGTGTGTATCTGTGTGTGTGTGTCCGTGTGTGTGTGCGCGCGCGTGTGTATCTGTGTGTGTGTGTCCGTGTGTGCGTGTGTGCGTGTGAGCACGTGTGTATCTGTGTGTGTGTGTGTCCGTGTGTGTGTCCGTGTGTGTGTGTGCACGTGTGTATCTGTGTATCTGTGTGTGTGTCCGTGTGTGTGGGTGAGCGGTGGTGTGTAGCGGTTAGCGCTACGCCGAGCTGCGAACCTGGCGACCCAAGTTCGATTCCCGTCTCACGGCCAACAAAACCGGTGGCGATTATCTGAACCGGTCTTGGGCCTTCCCCTAGGTCGACTCGGCCTCAAACGAGTAACCCCGGTGCGGTGTGTAGTAAACATCGCCACCGGGGAGACAAAGGCGGCCCCCGGCCGTGGTGCTGGCCACCCAATCCCATCGCAGGTGCCGCGGCTCGCCAACAGCACTTGCCCCAACAGTCTGTTGAGGCTACACGGGGGATCTTTGTCTTTGGTGTGGTAGTGACAGAATCGTGGGGGTGTGGTTGGATCTTCATCCAGCAGTGGATCGCTCATAGCGGCGGGGGTGGTGGGAGCAAGCCGCTTGAGTGGTAACGTCAAAATAAACCTTCCCCTATCGCGGGTGGCCTACGTAGGGTGCGAAAGAATTTCGAGGTAGGGGACACGAAGTCATCAACACTGAAGGTTCCCACTTCTCTCTTTACGGACCAGAGGGCCCACAAAACGCCAGAGGGCCAGCGAGAAACAGCACTGACTGACGGAGTAACCGATAAGCCGAAATTTTTTTTTTTACGTAATAAAATATCCGTTATTTGACTTGAGCAAGGTATGTTATTTTTTATTCTCTATAACTTTATTATATTTTTCATTAAGAGTTTAAGAACTTGCGGTGGTGGGGAGGTGGGACAACATGGGACGATGTTGGGGTGGGAACGGCGTGGATTGAACAGCTTTAGCTGAATTCCTGAAAATATTTTTTTATTTTATTTTAATTATAATGATTTTTTAAATGATGATAATGATGATGATGCGTCATCGCTGATATATCTGAAGTCACAAAATCAAACAGCCGGTAAAAATAGTAAACACACAACAGACAACCGTGAACACAAAGACACAGTGATGAACACAAAGATAGTAGTGAACACAATCGTGAACACAAAGTGATGAACACAATCGTAAACACAACATACACAATCGTGAACACAGCAAACAGCGATGAACACAATCGTGAACACTGATGAACACAGCAGCCACAGTGATGAACACAAATACAGTGAACACAATAGTGAACACAGCAGACACAGTGATGAACACAAATACAGTGGTGAACACAATAGTGAACACACAGCAGCCACAGTGACGAACACAAATACAGTGGTGAACACAACAGTGAACACAGCAAACAGCGATGAACACAATCGTGAACAGTGGTGAACACAGCAGCCAGTGACGAACACAAATACACAGCGGTGAACACAATAGTGAACACAGCAGCCACAGTGATGAACACAAATACACAGTGAACACAATAGTGAACACAGCAGCCACAGTGATGAACACAAATACACAGTGAACACAATAGTGAACACAGCAGACAGTGATGAACACAAATACACAGTGATGAACACAAATACACAATCGTGAACACAATCGTGAACACAATAGTGAACACACAGGAGACACAGACACGAGAGAGGGAGAGGAGTTTGAACCCGGTGGGGGGTCGTGGCAGAAGTCAATGAAAGTAAAACCACGAATCCGCCCTCAGGCACTCCCCAGGCTCATGGTGAATACGGGATGATTAGTGATTATTGATCATCGTCATCATCATCCTCGTCTCGATTTACAGAATTACTGTGTAGTCGACACGAGGCGGCCAATGGCACCACCACCATCTCCAAAACCACCATAATATCTACCACACCATCACCAACATCACCACCACCATCTCCAAAACCACCATAACATCTACCACACCATCACCAACATCACCATCTCCAAAACCACCATAATATCTACCACACCATCACCAACATCACCACCATCATCTCCATAATATCTACCACACCATCACCAACATCACCATCACCTTCATCTCCAAAACCACCATAATATCTACCACACCATCACCACCACAGTCACTTAGTCACTTTAAGATGTTTTTCTTGTTCATGTGTTATGTTTGTTGCGGTTGCACCCGATTCAAGAGCCGAATGGCTCACAGGGCTATACCAAATGGAACGATGAAACTATGAACCACCACCATCACCAAAACCCCAATAATCTCTGCCACACCACCATAACCACCAACATCACCACCACAACACTACCACCATACTACGCCACCACCACACACCACATCACAACACCATAACACTACCACCACCATACCACACCACACACACTACAACTCCACCACACAACACACCACCACCACAACACTACCACCACCACACAACACCACCCCACCACAACACCACCACCCCACCACAACACCACCACACCACCACACAACCACACATCACACCACCACACCACAACACCACCACACCACCACCACTTACTCTTATGCCCACAACTTTTGCCCGCGTTGGGGCTTCTGACGATGGCTCGCCCCGCCACCCTGAAGACTTCCATGGCGCAACGGGGAGCCGCTGTTGCTGCTGCTCCGACGTTGGTGGTAGTGGTGGTCGCTGTGGTCGACCTGGTTGTTGTTGTTGTATTACAAGCTGCTGCTGCTGCTGCTGTAGTTGTAGTTGTTGTTATCAATCGGCTGTGCATGAGAAGTCGCCGCCTCCACAGCCGCCTCCAGACTCCAAACTTTTTGTAATGAAACTCTGGGGCCACGCCCACCGACCGCCCGCCCCCTGGGCGTGGCCGGAGAGGCAAACCCGCGATTAACATAAATTAACATAACTATTAAAAAAATCATGAATTCGGGCTGCCGTTTGGAATAACTGCGCGCGGGCGTGGCCTGTTATGTTAATATCTAACAAAGGCGGGGTTTACTAGATTAGTAAGGGGGTGTGGGGCGGGGCTTATTGGATTAGGGCGTGGCGGGCCTCGCCGTGTAGCCCAATGGAAAGCGAGAACATTTTGAGTATTCGCGAAGGGGCGGGACGGCGGAAGACCCCCTCCCCCCGCCCCTCCTATTATGCTAATTAGTCAAACAACCGCTGGCGCGCGCGCCCCTTTGGCCAAAGCCACGCTGGCGTGACGTGGATGACGTCAGCCCACGAACGTCGATGACGCGCGGTGGTGGGGGGGGGGCATGTTGGTCAGGGGTGACGAAGCGAGCGCGGGGCTAAATGGGCGGACATGTTGTAAGGGGGGGGTGGAGCCGCCACGGTCGCGCGTGGAGCGACGTCACAAAGCAGCAACACGTGCGTCGTTATTTACCCATGCCCAAAGATGGCAGCCGGCCGGTGACGTCACCAATCAAGTTAACGCCACAGTTTAAATTCAAACTTAATTGATAACAACAAACTTGATTTTATACTCAGGGGACGAATAATCAATAGGTGTGTGTTTACCCTGTATGGCAATAATAACACAGGTGTTAAGATATTCTTAGTTTTTTCGGTAAAGTCACGTTGAAGGGAAACAACAAAATAATAAAATATATATAAAACAATAAAAAATTCTCACGACGTTTCGACCATAACTCAACGGTCATCTTCAGGTGTGTTGGTTGCATAAATTTATTTTTAAACGGCGCATTTATTTATTTATAAAAAAACGTTAGCGCCACACGCAACGATTTGGCAGTTTATTTAGGACTAGTCCATCTATATTCTGAAAAGAGGAGGGGGGAGACGATTTTTTTTATATAATGTATGCTGTCTGAAAGCCACTGTAAGCGTGAACAATCAATTAAGACCTGAAATGGTTTATCAAATCTTTCCAATGATTGCTAAGATAGAATCCATCTTCTCGGTGAAATTGTCTCTGTGCTTGTATATGTGGATAGCCTCATGAACGAATCTCTCATGGAAGCCAGATGGCTTACAAAGAACCTCTGTCTTGGAAAAGTCAATGGCATGTGAGCCTACTGAATTAGAACAATGATCTGCCACGGCCGAGGTGTTGGTCCTACCGTGTTTAAGGTCTGCTTTGTGTTCACGAATGCGGTCCGAGACATGGCGTTTGGTTTCTCCAATGTAACTACTACCACAGAGGCAACTTAGTTTGTAGACACCAGGGTATTGTATGTCCGGAATCACATCTTTTACAGACGGAACCAGATCACGGATTTTATGTAATGTGTTGAAACGGACCTGGATCTTGTGTTTATTCAAGATTTTGGAGATCTTTTTTGTGATCCCCGCAATGTAGGTAAAGTGATGGTTTTAAAAGGCTCCTCAAGAGGGTTCTTCTTCATGGTTTGAGTGATAGCTTTGCGGATTGTATAGTCGGAGTAACCATTAGCCCTAAGAGCTTGGTGTACGTGCTTGAGTTCACTGCTTATGTGTTCCTGGTCGGATATGCATTGGGCTCTATGATACAGAGTCTTGATGAGAGAATTCTTCTGTGATGGATGGTGGTGGGAATCCGGTTTCAGATAAGCATCCGTATGGGTAGCTTTCCTGTAGACAGAGTGGCTCATTGAACCATCAGGTCTCTTTTTAATTAGGACATCCAAAAAAGGTATCTTGCCATCTATTTCGACTTCCATGGTAAATCTGATGGCTGGGTGTATGGAATTGATGTGGTCGAAGAATTGGTCTAGAGTAGGCCGGCCATGTGGCCAGATGACAAAAGTGTCATCCACGTACCTCTTCCATAAGGTTGGGCGCAGAGTGGCAGTCTGGATGGCGTCAGTCTCAAATTTCTCCATGAAAATTTTAGCTATAACTGGAGAAAGGGGGGAGCCCATTGGGGTGCCCTCAGTTTGTTTGTAGAAAGTTCCATTCGATTTTTTTTATATAACGTATGCTGTCTGAAAGCCACTGTAAGCGTGAACAATCAATTAAGACCTGAAATGGTATATCAAATCTTTCCAATGGTTGCTAAGCCAGAATCCATCTTCTCGGTTGAAATTGTCTCTGTGCTTGTATATGTGGAGAGCCTCATGAACGAATTTCTCATGGTAGCCAGATGGCTTATATATTGTATTATTTTATTGTTTCCCTTCAACGTGACTTTACCGAAAGAGCTAAGAATATAACTTTATCTATCTCTCTATGATGAATACGAGGTTGTTGCGGGGGGGGGGGGGGGCGATTCAGGCGTCCCCCCCAATAACCTAGTTATTAATAATGAACTCGACACGCGTTCGTCCGCTGCGGTTTCCGTGGCGAGATGTTGACTACCTCGCCTGGTGTACAGAAGGTCGTGGGTTTGATCTTGACCCCGACGCCTGCTGCTGTATAATTGAGTTTGCGTGTCTCTCTCTCTCTCATAATCACGGTGACGATATGTTAACTACCTCGCCTGGTATACAGGAGGTCGGGGGTTTGATCTTCACCCCGACTCCTGCTGCTGTATAGTTGATGTTTGCGTGTCTCTCTCTCCCCGTGGCCTCGAGGATTTGTCTCTCGGCCCTCCGGGGTTTCCCCTCCACATTCAGAATCATTTCCACGTGATAAGCCACTTCGTTGCTCTATCATTTGTGAGAGCCATGGCGCTTCTGAAAAACAAATAGCTCAATAAAGCCTCCCTTACCTGGTCAAATGAATTAGTTTATTTTCTAAAGTGAAAATACTTTAATATTTTTTGGTTATTTGTTTACCGTTCTTATACCTTGCACTCCCATGGTGTGTGCGTGTTGTGTTTGTGTAACGTTCCGACTCCGTGACCCTGCTGGACATCCGTGAACATGAGATTTATAGCTCATCGGATTCTTCAAGTCTAAATAAAGATTCCAACTTAACGCATTCCAATTGCAATGTAGAGTATATAGCCACGCGATTACAATTGACATCCTTTCATAAACGCATGAAAAAAGAATATTCTATTGCCAGAAAGGGTAAGACCTATTGTTATATTTGTCATACTTTGATACTGGCAAAAAGGTCCCATTATGTACAGTGCTGGAGTAAACTAGTGCAGGGCCTGGAGCACATGTTATGAAGGGGCCCTAAATAAACAAAAACAAAACAATTAAAACTAAGAGGCCGACCGAAATTCGGTTTTGGCGCCGAAAGTTGGCAAATGGCCCTCTTTCAGCATAGATTCGGTTTCGGCCGAAAGTAAATTTTTTGTCCCGAAAGTAAATTTTTAACTTTCCGCCTGGTTTCGGTTTCGGCCGAAAGTAAATTTTTAACTTTCGGCCCGGTTTCGGTTTCGTCCGAAAGTAAATTTTTAACTTTCGGCCTGGTTTCGTTTCGGCCGAAAGTAAATTTTTAACTTTCGGCCCGGTTTCGGTTTCGTCGAAAGTAAATTTTTAACTTTCGCCTGGTTTCGTTTCGGCCGAAACTGATATTGACTTTTGGTCGTCATTCATCAACCAAAGCTCTATTGTTCGAATATAACGCCAGTGGCTACTTCTATCGCTCTGCCTATCGGACCGGTCAGTCGGCGCTAGGCAATCCTATACGATAGGCTGCGCACACACACACACACGCGTCAGCAGCAGCACTAGCTTGGGAGCGAGGTTACAGCCGCAACGATGGTCTGCTAATGTACACACGGCCGGTCAACAGACGGCAGCCTGCGTCTCCATCCGTGGGTTGAGTCTCTTTGGCGGGACGACAACAAAGTGCCTCTGTTGCTTGTTCCCAGCCGCCTTGCCCGCCTTGGCTTATGTGTTGCGTTCGCTTCAGTCTACACGCGTGTTGATACCGAGCGAAATTAGTGATACAACGAAATTACGAATCTGAGTGAAGTAGAAAATGTACGTTAATAAAAACGGAGCAGTTAATCACCGTGGAGAATGTCGAAACATGCGGTGCGGGATTACTCCACTAAAGTCGATTATGATGCAAGCAAGGCACAGCAACCTGCTGGGCGAGAATGCGGAAAAACTGTTGTTTCTTAACTACAACATTCGTTTGTTTGGATATAATTACCAAGTAAGTAACGCCTAAAGATTTGATATTTAGCGACTCTTACTGCAGGCTCTGAATGATGAGTTCTAGATTTCTTTTTAATTAAACTAGCATTGCATCATAGACATATTTCATAAATCTTGTGTTCGGTAACTTCGGTTATGTACCTTTTCTGTTTCGGTCTCGGTCGAAAGTAAATTTTTTACTTTCGGTTTTTGGTTTCGGTTTTGGCCGAAACCAGAAATTCAGTTTCGTTCGGCCTCTTATTAAAACACTATTTTTTTTTACTTGCATAGTAAAGTAATTGAATGTTTTCATTTGCTATACAGCCAGATAATACGACAAATCGCTAACGTTAAACACCCAGTCGTTCATAAAAGTTGAAGGCGGTATAGTACTATAGTAGTAGAGCCAGTATAGAATAACTGAACCGGAATTGACAGCTCGAAAGCATTTAGCGCGGGGCCCTTGAAAGTGCGGGGCCCGTACCATATGTCGCTACTTTTAGCTACTAGGATAATCCGGCACCGATGTTGTAGCTGTTCACACCGAGCTGTACGAGCCTCTGATAGTGGCATTGTCTTTGTACTGTTCGCATTTGGCATTCTCTGGTCTGACAACTGGTGGTGATACTAGGCCCGAAAAGAAGCCCGTCTCTGGTGTAGGCCAATCAGTTTCAAAGACGAAGCGTTTATTAATTGATTTGAAGCTTTCGTGACTGCAGGAATCCATACTCTTTGGTTCTTTCGGTAAAGTCATCACGTAGGGTAGAAATAAATCACGTTTCGGGCACAATACAAGCGCCCATCATCAGGTGGGAAAGCATGGTCTGCTGCTAAGGCAGACTGTTTCGGATGCAGACCCATACTTTCCCACCTGATGATGGACGCTTGTGTTGCGCCCGAAACGTCGTGATTTATTTTATACCTACGTGACTTTACCGAAAGAACCAAAGAGCATATATTAATGATCAGGGCATGTTCGTTTGTTTGTATGTTCACCACAAGTAGTGTGTGGTTACTGCAGACGTGATTCCTTGCAAAAGCTTTTTCTATTTGACGTTTGAAGATCTTAACACGACTCCTGTTTATTGTCGGAAAGGGTAACACATTATTATATTTTTTTCATACTTTGATACTGCCCAAAAAAAAGTCCCAATTCACGAACGCATTCTGCGCGTGCACGTCGTGCCGCGCACGATCCGGCGGCGTGACGTACCACGTAAGATCTGCCTCCATTTTGTCCCCGTCACGTGTGTACGCTGCGATTGTGACGTGTGTGCCACGTGGTGTGCACAAGTCGCTCATGCACGTCTCGTGACGGTGGCACGCCCGTTGAAAAGTGTCCACTCTGCGCGACCCGATTGCACGCGACCGGTTGCACGAGACCGATTGCACGCGACCCGATCGCACGCGACGGATAACGGCTCTCGCATCCGACACAAGAGGCCAGAGCAGAACTCAAGGATTGTGTTTTATTACAACAGAACATGATTACAGATAAAAACTTATCACGTAACTGCCCTTTCAAGTCCAACACGTTATGTGTTTTTTTTCAATCTTATTTTCAGTGTTTACCCAAGAAGGAAAAAAAATATATATAAAGTTGCAAAATACAAATAAAACTTTTATTTAAATTTTTAGTGTGAAAGATTAAAAGTGTAGAGACACTCTCTAGCGTGATGTGATTAACTCAAAACTGCAAATGTGATGCGTGGCCGCCGCTGTACGAAAAGTGAAGGCCACTCACTCACCGGTAATATGGAATTATACAATAATAATTAAACCACTGCTGATTGGAGGCCTCCTCCAAGCCGCTGTCGGTCATGGGGGTTGACCATACTTCACCACGCTGGTCAAAGCGGCTTGGTCGAATTAAGTGTGCGATGAACCCAAAGACCGGTTCAGACATCGACTCGCTGTGGACGGGAATGAAACTTAACTCCACATGATCAACGCTAAGCTCGTTGGCTAGGAGATGTTAACTACCTCGCCTGGTGTGCAGGAGGTCGTGGGTTCAATCCCGACCCTAACAACGCATGCTGTGTATTTGGAGTCTGCGTGTCTCTCTCTCATCATCATCACGGTGGCTAGGAGATGTTAACTACCTCGCCTGGTATACAGGGGGATTGTGGGTTCAATCCAGACCCCAACTGTATATTTGGAGTTTGCCTGTATCTCTCCCCGTGGTCGCGTGGATAAACCTCCGGCGTTTCCCTCCACATTTAGAATCAATGTCTCGGTGTTTAGAGTATATTTGGCTGCTATAAATTTCCACATGATGATGATGATAAGCCACTCTGTTGAGCTATTATTTGTGCAAGGTCGCTTCTAAAAAAAAAGAGTTATATAGCTCAGTGGGCCTTGTAGTTTTAATTTAACTAGATGGGACTTTAGTTTTAAGAATCGATATCAGCGATGGTCGATCCACTGCCGGATGGAGGCCTCTCCAAGCCGTCGGGATCTCATCTCATCGTCGCTCCATCTCCACCGCGGGCAGTTTGGTATCATCACGAGACCGCCAGAGAGAGGGGGGGGGGTGAAGGTCAACCGCGCCACACCACCGATTCGGGAGCCTGTGGAGTGGCTTCCCCAGTGTTCGGGCGGTCGCAGCGGCGGACGCAGCCGCTTGGCTAACCAGGAGGGGCGAGCGGGAAAAATCCACGTCGAAATCCTTTCGCGCCGTTACGTAGCGACCGTGGCTAGAACGACGTTGGGCAGGGCCCCGTGGGAAATTGGACCAGGGCCCGATCCCTACGTCAAAGTCGCCACAATCCACTGGTCCGCGGCTTGGTAGCATGGAACTCCCCAACAAACTCGAGTGTGGGCAAGGCAACTGCGGGCATCTTGGATAGAGGGTTGTGCCCAAAATAACGAACAAAAAACGAAAAATCGGCGGCTTTGTAGTGTTTTACGGATATGCCGGTCCTCGGGGGCATAGCAACGTGGAATTTACACGGGCGATAGCTAATCGGCGAGAGAAAGCAACAGCAGCAAAAAACCAAGCGGACCGCCGCTGTCCTCCCCCCCCCCCACCCGGGGGATGAACGACGACACAAGCGGGGCGCACTTCCCGCACTCGTTCATATACATATATACAGTACACAGTGCGGTACAGCGAACCGTCACCACCACCACCACCATCACAACAACCACTGAGGTGGAGACGGCGGAGAAGGGGATATGAAACCAGTTCGCGTAGCAGGCGGCTTGGCCGGGGTGGACCGTCGGTGCGCCGCGGGGATCTCGACGTGTTGCCGTTGCGGCCTAGGACATCATCCGGCAGTGGGTCGACAATGGCTTCCTGCCGCTGCCGCCGCCGCCGATGATGATGATGCACGCGCGTAGAACTTCTTTCGCAGCCATCACGCAGCCAACCCGTGTTCATCGGGAGGTGTTGGTGGGGGTTAGGCGGGTAAGGACAACTTAAACGCGGCGATGATGACGATGACACGGTCGGAGCGCCGCATTCACACCAAAACCACGCGCGGCGTCTCCCCTGCACAATCGTTTTTGTGAACGCAGCTTCCGCGGGAATTGCCGCGCACGCACGCACGCACGCACGCGATATGTCTTTTGTGCTATGTACAGCTCCGTCCGCCGACCACAGAGCCGCCCACACAACCCTCTCCAGCGACCCGTACGACGGACGTGATATAGATATACGTGCATACGCGAATGCCGACCGGCAGAGAAAAGCAACGATATTATTCGTCACTTGGCGAGCGTAATAAATTGGGGGGGGGGGGGCGATAGATTCCAGAGTGCCCGATATTGTTGACCCGACCAAAATTCCGCGCGTGATGGCTTGTATTGAGAAATACGATTTCAATGTTAAGGCAAGGGTCATGGGGGGGGCACCCTAGGGGCTGACTGGGCTGAATGCGAACCCCAACAACATTGCAAACTGATCGTGTGGAGGAGGAGGTGTGCGTCGCTCTCGGTGCCACGGACGAAAATATATTGTTTTACTTTTACACTGGGAGGCGGAGGCAGTGGCGGGCGGGGTGGACACGGAGAGGGACAGAGCCGAAGGTCGATTTGTTTTGAAAAGCGGTGCCGAGTCGGCGCGTGGCGTCCCTGGGTAAAACGTTGCCGTGGCTCCGTAACCGAGTTGTGGAAAGAGCAACTTGGTGGCACGCAGCTCGACGGGTACGCAACAACTTTGTGGAAACGCAACTTGTCGCTTGGCCCCGGGCAGGGCAGAGCAAACCGGATAAGACGGAGGAACGTGCGAACCGATTTGAGCCCAAACAGTTATTCGACAGCTCCAGTTAAGTGCGACTCAACCGTAACAACCACGATAGTACAATAACAATTAAACGCAAAATAATGCTACAGGCGGCTCTCGCTTATCTGGAGTAATGGGGGGGCGGGGGCGGTGTGTGCGAGGGTGCGGTGAAAATAAAATATAAGACGTGAATGCAAAACATTTGTACGGCGGGGTTCAGCATTTTTTTTTCTGTTACCTGCGTAGCATGCATGTACGTTCAACCTCGTTCGCACCGTGCGTGGCCGAGCCGTGCTAATCGGAGGTGAGCGGGGGGGGGGGCGGGCCGGGGTGGAAATGAACGATCGCCGGCTGGAGAGGGGAGAATGCGTCGCCCGCTTTTTTTTTGTTGTTTAACCCGCGCTCACGAGCAAAATCGGGCTTTCGTTTGCCGACGCGTTTGCAGTCGAGCTCGCGGTCCAAACCTCTTGGACGAGGGGGCGTGCGCGGGCGTTGAGTTAAGACGTGAGTCGCGGCGCGCGAACATCACGTAGCCATGGGTTCTGGCTTGTTTCTTTTTTTTACTTGGAGAAAGAAGTACGGTCGGTTAAATCCCAAACCGGGACAAAGTCGAGAGCCGACCCGTGTAAGGTCGCGGCGATAGGCATCAAAAACCAGCGTCGCCGGAATGGCACGGTTGACCCGCGCCGTTCCCATGAAGGTCACACGTCCCACTTGCATAATAAAGAGTGCCAACAATCTACGCACACACGGCTCGTGTCACAGTGCTCCCTACCCCACCGCCCCCCCCCCCCCCCGGGAGTTGGGTCAGCAGGTACTTGCCTCTCTCCCGAGAGCCTGGGGGGGGGGGGGGTTCAACTCCCCCTGGGTCTCACGACCCCCTAAGCCCGCGGGGCGGGCTTAGGGGGTCGGGCGGGGCGCTTTGTTAAACTCCCGTGGCTCTCATTGCACGGGCGGCCCCCATGGACGCGGTACCGGCTGTCCACGCGCCGCGTTGTACGCACGTTGCGTTGTCCGCACTTTCGCACGGTACGTAGCCGGCCGTGCTAAATCGGGAGGTGTCTTACCGGGAGTTCAGCCGTGGCGAGTTTTGGCATCGCAGGAGGCCGCGCGCGAGCCGCGGGGGGGGGAGGGGGGGGGGGTGGGAGCTACGCCGTGGGGTGGCAGGTCCTCATCTGGCAGCGGATAGATCGTGGGCAACGGTGAAGTTTGTGAAGTAGAACCCATTGAAAAGTAAAGCTATTTTGGGGTGGCTCTAGTTGTGGTGATAGTGGTTGTGATGAGTGGTGATGGATAGTGGTTATGGTGATAGCGGTTGTGGTGATGGTGAGAGTGGTGGTTGTGATAGTGGTTGTGGTGATGATGAGAGTGGTGGATGTGGTGATAGCAGTTATGGTGATAGCGGTTATGGTGATGATGAGAGTGGTGGTGGTGGTGGTGGTGATGAGAATGGTGTTGATAGTGGTTGTGGTGATAGCAGTTGTGGTGATAGTGGAAACTGCTGGGCCTGTCCCGCGACCTCCTGCCAGCGGAGCTTTCGACACTTCACGCGGCCTAAACGTGCACCTAGCCTGGCGCAAGCGCCGTGGTAACGTCACCGCCACTTAAGTGTTGTTGGTGGTGATGATAGTGACGATGGTGGTGTTGGTGGTGATAGTGGTCTAGGTCAGTGGTTCTCAATCTTGTTTGGCTCCTGTACCCCCTCCTTTGTTGAGTGGTTCTGAGTAAATAAAAGGACGAATAATGAACATCAAATATTGTAACCAATTGTCCATTTCGTGAGGTCATCCAAACTAGCTGCCAGTAACTGTAAAGCGAATTGAAAACAAATCTTAACCGTCGCTCTGCGCGCTTTGCTCTTGGAAACCACGTTGCTTACGATCGCCGAGTCGAGAAGGGTCTTTTTTTCTCATCGTTCTGGGTTACCGCATGGATTCAAATTGTATCGTTAAGTTATTTTTACACTGGCAGATTCATCGCCGCGTGATTATTTTACCGACGACTCTCGTGCTCTCGTGCATGATACCCCCTTCCTCCCCCCCGGGCCGGGGACATTGCCCAACGTAACCCCCAGGGGGCACCCCCCACACACCCTCTCCCCGCGTGTACCACCCGGTTGAGAACCACCGCTCTAGGGCAGGTGGTAGCGGTGAAGCCTGGCCTCGAACCCCGCTAACTCAGCGGCGCTGGCTCGGCCACGAGGACCACGGCCCCACCCCCTCCCCATTGAGTCCCCGTTAAAGATAAAAAAAACCAAAGTAAATAACCGAGAGACGGTAAGAACCGAGTTCACAACACCGGCGGATCCCCTCCACCGGGCCATGACGAAGCTCAACCGTGGTCGGCGTGGCCGCCCCTTGCGGCAAAACCCAACAGCCGAGGGATAACGTTCCATCGCCTAGTGGAGAATTACCATCGTCTTCATCATCATCATCGCCGTCAACATCATCATCATCATCATTGTTACCGCTACTCCACAACCGACACGGGCCGGGAGTTTGAATGTAACCTCCGGCAAGGATAAGATTTCCCCCAAGACTAACAACCAGGAGAGGTGGCAACGGGGCTCGCGCGCGATGACGTTTCCCCCCAAACGCGGACGTCACTTTCACCCTGGGTCGGTTGACACGAGGAGGAAACAAAGCGGCCGGCAAATTTTCCGTTGTCGCCGTCCTTATCCGCGGATGGTCCCCGCGCGTCCCGCAGCCGACGCAAGCACACGCCGGCGGTTTCCCCCCCCGAGTCCACAGAATGTGGCTTTGTCGCCCCGTGGAATCGCCGATAACGAATTGAACAAAACAAACAAACAAAAAAAAGCTCTCTGCAAGACGGAACCCAGCAGAAGGGAACGGCCGTCGCCCTACCGCCCGTCGCCACGGACGCGCACGCAACGTGACGGACGATCGCGACCCGCACAGCAAGGGGGGGGGGGGGGGGGTGAGAGGGGTTCCAGTGGGTTCCCCAGATCTGCGACGTTCTTTCGACATCAGCTTATTGCTCGGGGGTGGGGTGGGGGCCTGGATAAAAAAAAAAAATTCGACGAAAAACAAACACCACAACGGCGACGACAAAATCGAGAGATTTGGTTTCTTTTCCACGATCGACCCGACGACGAATCGGAAGTTTGGGGAAAAATCCGTGCGGTGTCGCGGATATGGGGGGGGGGTAGGGTCTCTCAGCGTTGCCAAAGGTTTTGACGTGTTTAAACCCGCGCGGGAATATTACAGAAGTAGCAGGGGACGAATGTCGTCGTCGTCGTCATCATCAGTGCTGGGCTCGCCACCGCCAACAGCAGCAACAGCCGCCACTCGCCACCGAGTGGCGGCGACGTCACCGCGGCGCTTGTGCCAGGCCAGGTGCAACTTTTGAGGCTCAAAAGTGCTGGCTCGACACGCACGCACGCACGCACGCACGCACCTGCGTATCCCGTCAAGGGCGCGTGGAGGTCTTTTCCGGATCGCTGATACGGTTCCGAGCGATGAAAGACAGCCGAGCGACGTGTACGAGACACCCGGCGGAGGGATACCGCGATCATTCGTGCGCTTTGCTGTCACGCCGCCAGCGTGCGGAGAGAGTCGGCCACATGGACAGAGACGAAGACCACTCCCGGTGTATCCTTAACAGCAGGCTGTAGGGGCAAGTGCTGCTAGCGAGCACCTGACGAAGGCCGGCACGGCACACGAAGGGGGGGTGGGTGGGCCAGCAACCACGCCCGACCGACATCGTATCCTCAGTGGCGATGATTTCACGCACCGGGTACTAACTTGAGGCCGAGTCGACCCCAGGGGAGGGCCTAGGCCTGGGCCAGGTTTAATCGTCACCGGTGTTGGCCGCGAGCGGGAATTGTGAACTCGGGCCGCCGGCTTCGTGGCACAGCGCTGCTAACCGCTCCCCACCGGACAGAGGGACGCGCCGACAAGAGACACAGACATCCTGGGACGTGCTCGCTATCGTGCTGCCCGCCAGCGACGGAAGGACAGCCGGAAGACAGGGACACAGAGAGAGATAGAGACGTCCGGATTCGTTGCTACGCCTCGCCCGCCACTGCCGAAAGATGGCGAGACAGATGGGAGGAGGGGGGCGGGCAGGCACAGCGAGGCCACACGTGGATGCGTCTCTCACGGCGGACCAAAAGCAATCGACCCCATCATCAGCATCGTTGTCGTCATCATCAGCATCGTCGTCGTCGGCGGTGGTGTCGCCTCATCGAGGAGGGAGCGTGGAGAGACCCCCCCCCTCCCCCCCACCGGATAAGATCGTTTGTTGCACTTTTCTCCGTCGGCCAGCGGGCCAGACGGACCGAGCGAGAGGCCGAGACGCAGACAGGCAAAGAGAGACACAGAGGGGCCAGCGAGCGGGCACGCGGGCTATCGACTGACCGATCGACCGATTGATTGACCGACCGACTGATTGTTTGACTGACCGATTGATTGACCGACTGACCGACCGATTGATTGACCGACCGACCGAGTGACCGAGCGAGCGGCAGACTGGGCCACGCCGCACCGCCCACTTTATTTATTCCCCAGCTCCTGCTCGAGCTCCATGAGCTTGCGCGACGTCTTGATCTTGTTGGCGACGTCCTGGCCCTGCGAGAAGAGGCGCTGGCGCTCGCGGAACGGCAGCTTCTCGGGCATCGGGCTCGGGCGCTCGCCCGCCTCTCTGCGAAAGAAACGAAGAAAAACAAAACACACGCGCGGCCGAAAGGTTTATTTAACCAACTGGAGGATTCACACGCGCTCCAGACGCCAACGGCGGTTTCAGTCTCACGCGCAGCCTAGGGGCGGCCGGGGAAGGGTGGCGGAAACCCAGAGCGGAAGCCTCTGTTGCACCGCCTACAGGGACCGGTTGCCCCTCTCCCGCCGGCAGCTCTACCCAGGAGTTGCTCTCGACACCGGGGGGTTGGCGAGGCGCCGCGATCGCCATCGCGGCGTTTCTCCGTTGTCGGCCCCCCTCCCCTCCACTCGCAGCGCTCGACTCTTTGGCCTGCCCTTTGAGAGGCCTTCTCGACAAAATTTTTTAAAATCTTTTTTGATGCCTGACTTTTAACCGAGCGGATTACCGAGCTGGGCTCCCCGGCGCCCGTGAAACGCGTGCGCGTTACAAACGAGCATCACCGCCGTTCTTTTTTTATTTTTTAATCACAGTAACACCTTGGATCGCGAGTAACTTGGTCTGCGAGTGGTTTGCAAGACGAGCAAAACTATTAATTCGATAAACGAGCGAGGGTCTTGCAATACGAGCAGCGTACCGTGAGGCACGCGCTTTGTACTGCCGTTGTGCTTTGACGCGCGAGTGCTTTGGATTACAAACACGTTTCCGGAACGAATTATGCTCGCAACCCAAGGTTTTACTGTACATCATCACCTCGGCGGGGTTCCGTGATTATAAGCGGGGCCTCCGACTTCACTGCCGCCGGGTCGGCATGCCGCCACCCCCCACCCCCCCCCCAAGCTTTGCGCCATCAAGCGAGACGGTATTGCAGACGTCGCTAACCAAACATATTTCTCCTCCTCCTCTGCACGTGACCGCTTCCCCCACACAGGCACAGTTCCGGAGCTAAACTATTTTTTTTTATTTTATTTTAACAGCCTAAGGGCACCCCCAACTGAGCTGCTGTTGTGGCGTTTTTTTTTCTTTCAGAAGAGACCCTCGGGGTTATCACGAACAAGAGCTCAATGAAGGGAAATGCATAGCAGCCAAATACTGTGAACGTGTGACGTCGATTCTCAATGTGGGGGGGAAAAACAGGACCACCCGGCAACACGTGGCCACGGGGGGAGCACATGCGCTCTAAATACACAGGTGTCATGGTCGGGATCGAACCCACGGCCTCCTGAATACCAGGCGAGGTAGTTAACATCTCTCCACTATATATTCTTGGTTCTTTTGGTAAAGCCACGTTGAAGGGAAGCAATACAATAATACAAAAATATATAAAGCAATATATTTTATTGCTTTATTGTTCCCCTTCATTATGAATCACTGCAGTCACGAAAGCTTTAAATCAAAATCTCTCCACTAATTATAATTGTCATCATCAAGCTTGTTAATTTTTATAATAATCATCATCCTCAGCCTTGTTGACCCAGGAAAGCCTCACCTATTGTCAAGACTGTTTCAGGAGGTTCTTACGTACGACTGTGTGTGCCAGTTTCGTACCCTGGGTACCCGAAAATATTGTTGTGTACTGTGTGTACTGCTGTGTGTGCTGAATGTACTGCTGTTTGTCTGTGTAATGTGCACGTATTGTGTTGCATGTGCTGCGCATGTGAGCTGCCTGCGTGAGTGCCTGCTGCATGTGAGCTGCCTGCGTGTGTGCGTGTGTGTGTGTGCGTGCGTGCGTACATGCTACGTGTGTGCGTGCGGGCTATGTGTGTGCGTGCTACGTGTGTGCGTGCTACGTGTGTGCGTGCTACGTGTGTGCGTGCGGGCTACGTGTGTGCGTGCTACGTGTGTGCGTGCTACGTGTGTGCGTGCTACGTGTGTGCGTGCTACGTGTGTGCGTGCGGGCTATGTGTGTGTGTGCTACGTGTGTGCGTGCTACGTGTGTGCGTGCTACGCGTGTGTGTGCGTGCTACGCGAGCACTCACGGTTTGCTCTGGCTGGTGCGGCGCTCGCGGGGGTCACGGTAAACCTCCTGGGAGCCGATGACGCCGGGCGTCCCACCGGGCCGGTAAGTGTTCATGCCTGCAGACGCACACCGCCGGTAACAAAGCCGCGCCACTAACCGCTAACCACACACTACCACTGCCCACACACCACCACTGCTAACCACACACACTGCCAGTGACACAACCATGCCACCAACCACTAACCATACACACAACAGGTAAAAGCCCACACCACTTACCGCATACACAAACACTACACACACCTGTTGACACACCCATACTAAACACATCCACACTACAACACTTACCACACAAACACTATGCACACCTGCTAATACACTCACGCCCACACTACACACACACACCACACAAAGACAAAGATACCCCGTATAACCTTAAAACACTGTTGGGGCAAGTGCTGTTAGCTAGTAGCAGCACCTATAATGGCCGGCTTGGCACACGAGGGGGTGGGTGGCCAGCACCACGCCCGGCCGCCTTTGTCTCCCTAGTAGCGGTGTTTACACGCCGCACCAGGTACTGATTAGAGGCTGAGTCGACCTAGGGGAGGGCCCAGGACGGTTCAGATAATCGTCATTGGTGTTGGCCGTGAGCGGGAATCAACCTCGGGTCGCCGGGTTCATAGCGCAGCGCGCTAACCTGCCACAACACAAACACCTGTCAACACCCACACTTCACACAGCCACAACTTCTGATAGCTCACTTAAGCTCTAAATACAATTCAAGGCGTCACCGAGGCCAAATTCGTCGGTGAAACCACCGCCACCACCACTTTTACTCGCTCGCTCGCCCACTCGCCATTCTATTTTTGCATAGGGCAGCAAAATGTTCAGGAGCTAAATGCCAATGTCGAGGGTTTGCTGGCCAAGAGAGAGAGTGAGTGTAGTGTTCAATGAGCAGTCTACAGTGGGTTTTACTCCATATATAGGCCATTGTTTGGGTTGCTCACTCACCCACCCACTTGCTCGCCCAAACCCACCCACTCGCTCATCCATACCCACCCACCCACTCACCTAATCATCCAGACCCACCCACCCACCCACTCACCTAACCACCCAGACCCACCCACTCACTCATACATGCTCACCCACTCACTCACATACTCATCCATCCACCCACTCACTCATCCAGATCCATCCACTCACTCATCCAGACCCACCCACCCACCCACTCACCCAGACTCACCCACCCACTCAACCAGATCCACTCACTCACCCAGACCCACTCACCAACTCACCCACCCAGACCTACCCACCCACTCACTTACCAAGACCCACTCACCTCGCCCACCCTCTCACCTCACCCACCCAGACCCAATAATTCACTCACCCAGACCCACTCACTCACCCACCCAGACACACTCTCTGACCTCACCCACCCAGACCCAATAATTCACTGACCCAGACCCACACTCATTCACCCACCCAGACCCACTCTCTGACCTCACCCACCCAGACCCACTAATTCACTCACCCAGGCCCACACTCACTCACCTACCCAGACCCACTCTCTGACCTCACCCACCCAGACCCACTAATTCACTCATCCAGACCCACACTCACTCACCCACCCAGACCCACTCTCTGACCTCACCCACCCAGACCCAATAACTCACTGACCCAGACCCACACTCACTCACCCAACCCAGACCCACTCTCTGACCTCACCCACCCAGACCCACTAATTCACTCACCCAGACGCACACTCACTCACCCACCCAGACCCACTCTCTGATCTCACCCACCCAGACCCACTCACCAACACTGCAGGTCACCTCACTTCTCTTTCTGCTTCTTCCCTCGCACTGCTCCACTTTGCAATTCCCTCCTCCCATCATCATCATCATCACCACCGTCACCGTCACCATCATCGTCGTCGTCTCCTCCTCCCCCCCACCCCAATCTCTCGCGATAATAACCTCGCTTTAGTTCACGTCACGCGTTACCACACTCCTACCACCTCTCACGCAACTTTGCTAACGGGTGCTGTGGCGTTGCCGCCCGCCTGGGCGACGCGTGCACCTTCGGCGGTCGTGAATTTCAAAGGGAGCAAAACCATTCCGGGGCGCATAGACGGGACAGGGCTCACGGTGACGGACGGTGACGGACGGACACGGACGGACACGGACACTCGCAACCAGGACGGCACAAAGGCAGCAGCCGCCGCAGAGGGCCTACGACACGCGGGTGGCCGCGGTGTCGGAGGTCACGGCACGCGGTGTCGGAGGTCACGGCACGCGGTGTCGGAGGTCACGGCACGCGGTGTCGGGAGGTCACGGCGCGCGACCGTTTCTCGCGATAGCCGTTGAGGTGCGTGAATTGAATTTTGCAATTAAAAAAAAAAAATTCCCCCCTCCTTCTGTGATTCGCTTTTGCTGTGCGTGTAGCAGGAAGACAGACTGGTTTATTTATAAAGTTAATCCAAGTTCCAATTGTTCGGCGGAAGGCAGTCAAAGCGCCTACCGGCCTTTCCAACCTTTGTAGAATGCCTACAATGCTGGTCAATTAATGTGAACAAAATATCGTAGAGGATTCGCCATTGCGTGAATTAACTCGCAAATAAATTTAGCAAATCGCTAATCTCACGAATAGCAGACATTTATTTACAATAATCCACAAGAGGTTTCTTTTTTTTTTACTCAACTTTAACTATTTGAGTTTTAAAACTCAGGAATATTCCATCGCAGGGAGGGAGGGGGGTTAAAAATATTTCCGGAAGAATAAAACGGGGAGGGGGGGGGGGGGCGACCCGCCGTGCATCTCGCATCGTCGGGGGTCGCGGGGGTCGCGGGGGTCGCAGGGGTCGCGGGTCGTCGTGGCGACCAGAAACCTACAGCGAGCAGTGATTGGCTATTTCCTCACGCACGGTGGGGGTGGGGGAGAGGTTGCACCGATGAGTCCCAGAACAACTAGAATCCCTCACCGCAACACCTACGCGTTTGCCCATTTCAGGAAAACAAACACCGCCCTGCCCCCGTACAGCCTCAACAGACCAAGTGCTGTTAGCGAGTATCACCGACCAAGGCCGGCACGGCACACGAAGGGGTGGGTGGGTGGCCCAGCAACCACGCCCGGCCGCCTTTGTCTCCCCAGTAGCGACGTTTACTACACACCGCACCAGGTACTCGTTTGAGGCCGAGTCGACCTGGGGGGGGGGGGGCCCCGGACCGCTTCAGATAATCGTCACCGGTGTTGGTGGTGGCCGTGAGCGGGATTCGAACCCGGGGGTCGCCGGGTTTCGTAGCGCAGCGTAGCGCTAACCGCTACGCTACCAGTTCACCGCCGTTGCAATCAACTTCACCCGCCGCGGTGGCGAGATCAAATCCTGGCCGACAACCCGGCCCCCCATCGTCCCTCCGGGGGTTGGGGGGGGAGGGTCACAGTAAAAATTTAACCCGCCCCCCTTGGAGAGACCAGCGCCCGCACCGTCCTCCCCGACGCAAGCGAAATGTGGAATTTTCAACCGCTGGCTCCGTGCTGGGACGTGCACAGGAGTCATGCCCCGATGAATCAGAATCTTTGTTTAGACTGCAGGAGGAATCCGATGAGCTACGAAGCTCTTTTTTTTTTTTGCACGGATGTCCGCTATGGGCATGGCGGGGCGATAAATCTGAGCGACCCCTTTCGATGCGTGGAGTTATTCCCGCATTTTGCCAACGCCACACGCAGGCCTGCCGGTAAACCATCCTATATCGGGCTAATTCTCCGGGGACCCGTCGGTGCACAACTTATTAGGATCGGCTTAGTGACATTTGACAATCTGGAACCGTCGCAGCGAGCGCGCACACGTTCATACACACACACACAGGGCGGAACAAAATCAAGGGCAGATTTAAAAAAAAAAAACTTGAAATCAAACACGGACGCGTAAATAAATTGAGCGAATTCGTCCACGTCGATCTTGCCGGCTCGACCCAACGTCGGTTGACCAGGTCGTAACGTCGGATTGGGGGAAGAGGCGACGGCAGATTTGGCAGGGAGGGAGGAAGCGAGGCAGGGAGGGAGGGAGGGAGGCGAGTCGGGAAAGCCGGGTCCCCCCCGCTCACGAGCCCCTGGTCGGTCGCGCGACCAAAATTTTGCTCTGGAAATCGTCGCGCGAATTAAAAAAAAAACCGTGTCGCCCCGCTCGCCCCGCTCGACCCGCGACACACTTGTCCACGTCTGGGCGAGCAGCCGCGCGACAAGGAGCTTAGGGATCCCGAAGGGCCAAATCGGAGTCGCGCAAATCTGCCGCGCGGTCGAGCGTCTCGGCTGCAAGTTAACCCGGGTCGCGGCAGCCGCCGCTCCCGACTCGATTGCCGAGACGTTGGGAGTTGCCGTACGCATCCCCGGGTTGCGCAACCGATTGCGAAGAGGCGTGGACTCCGGCTTCAGGGAAACGCCCCCGAGGGACGGGGGGGAGGAGGGGGAGGGGGGACACGCGACGTTTGTGATGGCATGCGGTCACAACGCGCATGCACGAGGCGGCTGGGTGCGTCCATCGGTAATAATAATAACAATTTAGAACATTTGGATCGGTGTCTTTTTGTAGCGCGAGGCACTCTCTTCTCAGCATGCAGCACTTCATTTCAGAGAAGGGGGGCAAGATGCTGTGATGTGGCTTAACCCAATCGACCAGTTTGCGGGTATTTTTCAAACGGAGAAAATGTGAACGTGGCCGGGCACACAATGGCTCCTTCGACTACGCTCTTTCGAATAACGTCACTGGATCTTTGACGTCCGCTAGGAAGCAGAGGTGGCGTAGTAATCCGTGGGTTAACGCGCGCCAAAAAGAATAAACTGTTCATGCTACTAAATTTTTATTTTACCAGGAAAGGTCCCACTGAGCTACATATTGCTCTATTTCAGAAGCGACCTGGCTATCAGAAATGATAACTCATCATCATCGCGTGGAAATTTATAGCAGCCAAATACTCTAAAACGCGTGACGTTGATTCTAAACGTGGAGGGCAAAACCGGAGGACCCGGAGAAAAATCCATGCTAACGCGGGGAGAGTTGACAGGCAAACTCCAAATATACAGCAGGCGTCAGGGTGGAAATACAACCCACGACCTCCTGTATACCAGGCGAGGCAGTTAACATCTCCTAGCCACCGTGATGATGATGAGAGAGAGAGAGACACGCAAATTCCAAATATACAGCAGCAGGCGTCAGTGTCGGGATAGAACCCACGACCTTCTGTGTGCCAGGCGAGGGAGTTAACATCTCCGAGCCACCGAAATATTCACCAGGCCGGGGCCGCTGGTCTCGAAGCATGAACCGCGAACAGCGAGCGGCTTGAACGTCCGAGCGGAGTCGTCCAGAACCGGTTTAAACGCGGGGGGTGGGGGTGGCTCCAATTGTTCCGAGCCACAATCTCATCCGCGAAAAAGCAGGGGTGCTGTTCAGACACGGGAAAGTTGCGAACAACGGCCGAGACACCCAGCTGCCTCACGTAGGGAGAGTGAAAGCAGATGAGTTGAGGAAAGGTGATGAGTTAATCGGTCGCAGACACGGGGGGGGGGGGGGAGCGGGGGGTGCGGATGATCCGACAAAGCAATTTTAATCCATCAAGCAAGCCACAAGCAAGCCGCAAGCAAGCCGCAAGCAAGCCACAAGCAAGCGAGACAGACAGACAGACAGCCAATCACAGACAAGCAAGGCTTGTACTTGCATAGAACACACACAGAAGCGGGGTACAGACACGGACACACAGACTAGAGTCACACGTACAGACAGGCTCGCACACAGACACACGTACAAGCCACTAGCACACACAAGACACTCGCACACAGTGCCTCACTGCTCACACACACACACAAAGAATATCCCCCGTATTGCCTGAAAAGACTGTTGGGGCAAGTGCTGTTAACGAGTACCTATGAAGGCCGGCACGGCACACGAGGGGGTGGGTGGCCAGCACCACGCCCGGCCGCCTTTGTCTCCCTAATGGCGATGTTTATACACCGCACCAGGTACTCATTTGAGGCCGACTCGACCTAGGGAAGGTTCAGGACCAGTTCAAATAATCGTCACTGGTGCTGGCCGTGAGCAGGAATTGAACTCGGGTTGCTGGGTTGGTAGCGCAGCGCGCTGACCTGCTACACCACCGCTCCCCACCCACACGCACGCACACACACCGACTCACACTCACACACACCGACTCACACTCACACACACCGACTCGCACTCTGACGAGCCAGACTCACAAACACAAGCCAAGTCACACCCCACCAACAGACGACAACAACTGCCGTTGACAGACGGCAACCCCCAGGGGGCCACGCACGCACGCTCTCGTTCAAGACGCTCGCACGCACGCAGAGAGGAGCCACGCGCACAGCCAAGGTGCGGCCTTTCACCTTGCGAGTTTCCAGGCGAAGCATAGGTGAGCAGCAGCGAGGACGGCGCGCCGCGGTGCTGCTGGGCCGCCGCGGCGCCGACAGCGCCGCCGCCGCCGCCGCCGCCGCCGCCCACGCGCGCCAGGTCGGCCATGCTGCTGGAAGCCGCCACCGACGGCGCCCGCCTGCCCAGGCCGCCGGCCGCCCCCCCCGCGGCCGACGACAGCGCAAAGCCGTCCGACAGCGGGCGCTGCGGCCGGGCAAGCGGCGGTCGGCGCGCCGTCACGGCGCCGCCGCCGCCGCCGCCGCCGCCTGGCTGCTGCTGCCAGCGCAGGGGGGCGGTCGCCGCCGCCGTCGCCGCGGGGTTAGCGCGAGCGTCTCTCGTCTTCGCAGAGTCCTCCTCCTCCACCTCGTCGCCGTCACCGCACCGCACCAGCATGGCTCTGTGCAAGTCGCCGCCGCCGCCGCCGCCCGACCCGCCTCCGCCGCGAGGCTTACTCTGCTGGGACGGCGCCGGCGGAGATGCGGCGGCCGCCGTGGATGCCCCGTCGTCGCCGTCGCCGTCGCCGTCGTTGTCGTTGTTGTTGTTGTTGCCGCCGGGACCCAGTAGGCGGCGCTCCTCCTCGTCCAGCGCGCGCCGCCGCTCCGACTCCAGGTGAGCGTAGTAGTCGTCTTCGCGGCGCCGCTGGTGAATGTCGCCGCCGTCGCCACCGCCGCACCCCATACCGGCGGAGGGAGAAACGCGACCGCGTCAGGGAGCGTTGCCGTGCCAACGGCCGATAGCGGCCGATAGCGGCGAAACTGGCGTTTTGCTTCCGACGGCGGCCGGAAAGGGCGCGAGGCCGTCGCTGAAGAGAGTGCATACGGGGGGGGGTAAAACGCCGATGAGCGACAATTCTGGGCGAAGCCGGCACCATCCTTCTGATGAATGCCAACGGGGGCACGAGGCCGGGGGTTAGCGGGGCAGGCGCACGCGCTGCACCGACGATCCCGCCGACGATCAACGAACAGGGCAGGGCCGGCGTTAATGAGAGCTCCGCCTTGCTGGCGACGTTGCTCATGATGACGATTGGTGGCGAGCGTTGAGGGTAAAATACGCACACGCTACACGTGCGCCGCCTGCATTTTTACTTGGGGTCATTTCGTCGTCAAACTCTCGGCCGGTTTCAACGTTCGGTCTGGCGGCTTTGCTTAAACCCATGCTGGCGAGCAGCCTCACGTTATTTCTGTATCGGAGACGGATCCCAGTGTCGGTGCCAACAACAAACAGCGCCGTCATCGAGCGCGCCGGGAAAACAATGCCGCCGAAGCTGGGCGCACCTTCCCCAGAAGGCCGTGTGGCCGATGCAGACGCAATGTCGTCACTCGCATATTTATCCTCACCGGCTTTCAACAGTATCGTTGCTGTATGAACGGTGAACTTCTTTCGCGCCGTACGTATTCAACCGTGCGAATCGGAGGATGGGTGAGCGAGCGGGTGAGTGTCTATGCGAGCGGGTGAGTGACTATGTGAGTGGGTGAATGACTGTGCGAGTCTGTGTGTTCATAATAGAGGTTTTTTTTGGGTTACTGATCGCGAAAGCCTACGTGTTAAACTGAGCCTGTGTGTGTGTATGTTGAACTTCTCTCGCAAAGTATGTGGCCGAACGTGCGGTGTGGGGAAGGACAACAAGCTAAGCACAAAAAGCGGTTCCTTTAAGAAATACTTTTTCAAGAAAGATGGTGATTTTAAAGTGCATCGCTCCTTTGTCTTTCTAATATCGGAAGGAAGAGCTTTCCAGACGGCCGCAGAAGCGCACCCGAAAGCGCCGCGCGGTGATGCGTTGACCGTCTTTGTTCGATGGCCATGCCAAAAGCCGAGGATGACCAGATTTCGCGTGACGGTTGTAATGAGGCTTTCGCCTGATGAAACTGGTTGTGATCACGAGAGAACCATCGCACTACAATTTGCAAACGTTGTGGGGTTTTTTTCCCTCCAACACACAACCGGTTTAGTGCTGGAGCAGTCGCTAAATGGGCGTGCTTTGTGCACGTGACAAACCTCACCAAATTGGCCGTTGTCGGGTGGTGGCGGGTCTAACGACACTTATTAGGCGGCCGGCCCGTACCACGCCGGGTTCACCCCGGCAAGGGGAGCCCCTCTCCTCCAGCCTCCTCACCTGCTCATCCACTTTGCGCGTCCGCTCCTCCGCTTCCCGCTGCTGCCGCGCCCGCTCCTCCGCTTCCCGCTGCTGCCGCGCCCGCTCCTCCGCTTCCCGCTGCTGCCTCGCACGCTCCTCCGCTTCCCTCTGTCGAGCTCGCTCCTCCGCTTCCCGCTGCTGCCTCGCCCGCTCCTCCGCTTCCCTCTGTCGAGCTCGCTCCTCCGCTTCCCGCTGCTGCCTCGCCCGCTCCTCCGCTTCCCTCTGTTGCCGGGCTCGCTCCTCCGCTTCCCGCTGAAGGCGTAACCGCTCCTCCGCTTCCCTCTGCTGCCGCGCGCGCTCCTCCGCCTGCTGCTGATGCTTCCGGCGCTCCTCGTCCTGTAGCTAACGTGCAAGCGGGGAGCGCGAGGGCAGGAGAGATCAGCGGCCATTCAACGCGAGCGCACGCACGTAAATACACGCACGCGCACGCACGCACCCGCACGCACGCACGTACGTAAACGTACACACACGTTCACACGCACGTTCACGCGCATACACGCACCCAGGCAGCCGCACCGTCCATATACATATTATTTTTAGTAATCCGCTCACCTTGACTGTACTTTGAACTCCTATCGTGTTCGTGTGTTGTGCGTGACCCCGCCCGCCCGCCCGCCCCCCCCCCGTGCCCCTACTGGACATCTGTGACAAAACCCGAGCCTCACGGGTTCATTGGATTCCCCCCGGGCCTAGATGGACGTTCTGATTCAACAAAAAACAAACAAAAAAGATCCAAACACGAATGAAATTTCGGCGCAGAGCTGCGTTGCTGTTGGGGGGTACTCTGCCGGGTTTCGATTTGCTGCCGGCTACGCCCCAAAGTGCCTTGCGCGTTGCACGTCACGCGGCGATCGCGTACGCAAAAAGCTCTGGGACGTGCGTTGAAAATATTTCCCACCGTACGTAGCCAACCGCGCTAATCGGAGGTGTGCGGGCAGATGGTGGGGGGGGGGGGTGGGAAGGACAACACAACTAAAGCACAACGAGTAGCTCGAAAGAAATCAGCTTGCAATCTAGGTGACGATACCAAAATGCACAGCTCCCACGGTGGCTTCCTAAATATCGGAAGGGCGTTCCAGACGGCCGCAGAAGCGCTAAGGGCTCCCCCTCACAGCCTGTTCCGGACCAGCAGCTCAAGAGCGAAACGTTTGTGTGTGTGTGCACGATGGTGCGTGGTGGTGGTGTCGTCGCACCAGTCGGGTGCATGGATGGAAGATGGCGCGGGGCGGGGGCGGGGGGGGGGCGGCGGTGTGGGGGAAGGGGGGGGGGGTATAAAGGATGCCGCATTCACAAATTAAAACCCGCCGATGGATTCGAACGGCAAACCGGTTGAAAGCAAACGCCAAACAAAACAAAACCAAATGGCAAAACGAGAAGAGCGAGAGCGAGGAGGCGGGGGAGCGGTGGCGGCGGCCAGGACGTGGCTCACGGTGGCTCCGCTCGCGACAGGCGGCACGGGCGGAACAGAAGGCGTGACCAGCCTCCTGAGCCGGGGGGACGCCACCGGACAAAGGTGAACCGCACCGCAAATAAATATGAAGCGCGCACACACGCACGCACTAGGGCATACACACACACGTGAGGGCATACACACACACACACACGCGTGAGGGCATACACAGACAGACACGAGGGCATACACACACACACACACGAGGGGATACACACACGCACGAGGGCATACACACACACGTGAGGGCATACACACACACACGCGTGAGGGCATACACACACACACGCGTGAGGGCATACACAGACAGACACGAGGGCATACACACACACACACACACGAGGGGATACACACACGCACGAGGGCATACACACGCACGAGGGCATACACACACACACACGAGGGGATACACACACAACCAGGAGGGTATACTCACAAGCACGAGGGCATACACACACACACACACACGGGCATACACACGTAAGCACATGCAGGCACTCACACGCATGAGGGCATACACTTACACACACGCACGAGGACACGTAAACACAGACATGCAGGAGGGTATACTCACATGCAAGAGAGCATACACACACACACACACGTGTGTGCGCACACACAACCACGAGCGCATACGCACGCACACGCACGCAGAGCGGCTTCTCCCGGGACTAAGGCAACAAGCGTCCGTCTCACCCCGACACGCACGGGGGGCAGCGTGGAAATCTCCCACGGCTATTCGTTACACTTCTGTTCACTGACCACCACGCCCCCCCCGTTTATCTGTTGTGGAGCGACACGTGTGATTGTGTCCTCCGCCGCCGCTGCCGCCGCCGCCACCTGGTGGCCAAATCAGCAAACTACATTTATTGCGCGAGGGATAACAAAGGGCCCAATTCAGATTTTTACAAAAAAATACATGTTGCGTACCGACCCTCGAATTAATGTGACGACGACGACAATAAGTAGCTGGCTGCAGGCTGATGTGACTTTACCGAAATAACTAAAGAGTATAGGCTGATGCACGTTTGAAATAAATATATAAACCCCAAGAGAAATCGTTACCGATTTCGAGGGCCTTAGGATTACATCCTAGGCAGGGGCAATTCATCATCCCCATTTATCAGCAGCACCACCACCACCACCCGGGGAGATTGGTGGAATGGGTGCCCTGATCTGTGCTGGGGCCACACTTCATGGTAGTGGAGTCCAAGAGGTGGCGGCTGCTGCTCCCGATTGCTGCTTCTGTCAGGTGGAAGCGAGTTGACTGGCGACAGGATGGAGCCAAAGTGTAGAATTGTGGGGAATTTCCATCGCCCAACCACGCGACCACGGCGAGAGAAAAACGCAAAATCCAATGTGTACGGGCGTCGTCAGGGTCCGAATCAAACCCTCAACCCCCTGTATACTGGGCGAGGTAGTTAACATCTCACAACCGTGGCGAGACCACCTAAACGTCGACAGGTCTCCTCCAGACCTGCGGGAGGATGAGGCGACCACCAGAACTCCTGGAGTTTGCGTTCCTACACCTTCCGCAGCCGAGGGTCACTGGGCCTCCTCAAGACGAGGTGGCGGAGGAACATCCAAGATCTCCCCGGTTCAAAAGGCCGGAGTGGAACGCTGCCAACGTCGCAGCGGACCGGAGTGAATTTGAAGGATCGCGACGTGGTCCCACGCTACTGCCGATTGCTGCCGCCGCCGCCGCCGCCGCCGCCCTCGTGAGTGTGAGAGGAGCGTCGGAGAGACAAGCAAATAAAGAGCAAAACGACCGGGGCCGCGACGATGGGTGAACATCGTTGGAGGCGGCCGATGGGGGATGGGGATGGTGGCCGCGTTGGTGACGGTGGCTGGAAACGAAGGATGGGGGGGGGGGGGAGAGGCATGCGGAGAGACAGAGACGGAGAGAGGGGTGGGAGAGCGGCGGCGGCGGCGGCGGCGTCGCACATACCAAGTGCAAGACCGAGAGAGTCGGGAAGGCCTGCGCAGGGGGAGGGGTCAAGGATGCTCCCGGCCAGGAGAGAGAAACAGACCCCGACGGTCAAAGCGCTCGGTTAGGTGGAGGAGACACAACAACGACAACAACGACAACAACAACAACGCGATGGCAACACGACGGCCGATCCACGCTCGTGCCGATGGACTACAATACCCCCCCACCCCACCCCCGATTCCACCGGCACAACCGAGCCGAGCCAGCGCGGGGCCGGCACGGGTCAGGGTGGTTTTTCCACTGCCTGTTTGCCGAGCCAAGCCAGAACCAAGCGGCGCAAGGCTGATGGACTCACAAGAAGGCCCCTGGAGCTATGCCACTTTGAAATTCTAGGATCGAAAACTCATCTTCTTTAGAACTGCCTCATGCGTCTAGTTTGTTGTCCATCCCGCGCACCTCCGCTTAGCGCGGTTGGCGACGTGCGGCGCGAAAGAAGTTCAACGTCCACGTACGTACAAAGGGGGGCGGCTGAATCTGGCTCAGGGGGGCCAAGCAAGCGCAAGGAGTTTTCGGGGGGGCCGACGACGCCGTGAGGAGGCGGCGGGGGGGGGGAGGGGAGGGGGGGGGAGGGTGTAAAGAAAAGCAGCCTGGGGCCCGTCCTGACTCGCGGCGGCCCCTGGTTTGGCACGGCCCCGGCACGGCTCAGATGTGCCAGTGGAAAAAAAGCAAGAGCTTTGCCGTTACAACCTGCGTCGAGGTTTGGACGTTTGGACGGCGATTCACTTTCCTTTCCCGTTCTGAGGGCTCCGGGGTGGCTAGAAGACGGTAACTACCTCGTCTGATATGCAGAAGGCCGTGGGGGTTCGATCCCGACCCTGACGATGCCTGCTGTATATTTGGAGTCTGCGTGTGTCTCTCTCTCATCATCATCACGGTGGCTAGGAGGTGTTAACTTCCTCACCTGGTATGCAGGGAGTTGTGGGTCCGATCCCAAACCTAACGATGCCTGGAGTGTATTTGGAGTGTGTGCGTGTCTCTCTCTCTCCACGTGGACGTGTGGATATTTCTCCGGCTCCTCCGGTTTTTCCCTCCATTTGTAGAATCAACAACACGCGTTCAGGCTATTTGGCTGCTATAATTTCCATATGATGGCGGTAAGCCACTTTCGTTGAGCTATCACTTGTGGCCAGGTCGCTTCTGAAAAAAGCTACGCACCACAGTGAGCCTTCCCTGGTAAAATAAAAAAATGGCTTCGTCTTTAAACTTTTAAATAGCACGCGCGCCACCGTGCCACGCAACATCACCTCCCGTCCAGTGGCACACTGTGGGGGGAGACTTACCCCCACCGCCCCCCACCCCCCCCCGCTCCCAAACTATTTCCACGTTTTCCGACGAGTCGCACGACCCGAGCGAGATTGCCGAATCGGGAGAGCGGAGCGACAGACGGGGCAAGGGAACTACCTGCAGCACACGCGTCTCCTCCTCATGCCTTTGCTGCTGCTGCTGCTGCTGGTGGTGGTGGAAGTCTCCTGTCTGCTGGTGCTGCCACGGCAGAGGCTTTTCCTGCGTTCCCGCGAGAGAGGGCCGGACCCCAATGGCGTTGACACACCCCGGGCGGAGAAAATAATAAAAAGTAAATAAGACGCGCGTTCGTAACGTTGGCGAGCGATCAAGCGCTGCCGCGCAAACCTCCCTCGCTCATACGACGGGCGTCTCCTCTCGCTCGCATTGCACCATGTAACGCGATTTTTGTCCCCGGGAAGTAAGTGTTATTTCTTAATTGCTTATGCCTGAAAAGAATAGAAAATGGCTATTGTTATTCCCCACAAACTTTGCTTGTGTGACCAGGACTTTATGTTGTAGGAATGACACAAATGCGCACCGCGTTTTCTCATTTGACAATAGGTAAATTTCAAAATATCACTGTTCTGGTCACAATCAGGAAATAACACTACCCAGGAACAAAACAAAGTTTTTGTTACACAGTTAATTATTTAAGGGGCGCCACTGTGGTGAGATGTTAACTCCCTCGCCCGGTATGCAGGTCACGTGGATCTTTTCCGACCCTGACGCCTGCTATCTATTTGGAGTTTGCCCGTCTCTCTCTCTCTCTCTCGCAGTGGTCGCGTTGATTTTTCTCCGGGACCTCCGGTTATTCCCCCTCCACGTTTAGAACCCGACGTCACGGGTCTAGAGTGTTTGGCTGCCACAAATTTTCACGCGACGGCAAGCCCCCTTCCTTGAGCAACCATTTGCGATCTGAAAGAAAGCTGCACAGCTCAATGGGGCCTTACACCATGCTAATTTTTTATGCTAATTCCTTTGTCAAGGCACCTTGTTTCCTCGCACAGACAGCTTAAAGGTCCGCGGTCTGAGCGTTGGCTGCGTTTCGCTCCAGCGCCGTCCTCGAGACGGCCCGATCCCTTCACCTGACGAAGGCCGCTTGTGTTGTGGCCGAAACGTCGTGCTTTTTGTCGTTTTATTTTTTTTACCCACGTGGTGACTTTTTACCGAATAGAACCGAAGAGTATGGATCCTTGCAGGAAAACTCTACAAAATGGAAATCGTTTCATTCGCTTAAACAGCATCAGTTTCCGTGCACGGCTCCGTCTCCGCGTCCCCGCGTCCGCGTCCGCGTGCGCGACGTTCACCCGCACCGTCTGCTTCTGCCCGGCCGCCGGCGCCCCGACCCCAGTGCCTCCTCCGTCTCCGTCTCCGTCGTCCCTCTCTTCGTAGTCGTCGTCGTCGTCGTCGTCGTCGTCCCCGCGCCGGCGCAGCGACACCTCCTGCACGCGCCGCTGGAACTCGCGCTCCAGCAGCAGCTTGCGCAGCCGGTCGCTCTCCTCGGGCAGCAGCTGGTGCTGCGGGCGCGACTGCAGCGCCGCTATCTCCCGCTCGAGCATCTCCAGCTGCTGCTGCTGCCGCTGCTTCTCCTGGCGCTCGCGGGCGTCGCGCGCCCACGGCGACGGCGACAGCTGCGGCGAGCCGCTCGCGCCCTCCTCCTCGCCGGTGCCCGCGGGGGGGGGCACGAGGAAGTGCAGGTCGTGGCGCTCGATGGTGCGCGGCTGCGACTGGGGGCGCAGCTCCCTGAAGGAGAGGGAAGAGGAAGGCGGGTGGGGCGGGGCGGGGCGGGGGGGGCGAGTTGGCATTTGACCACGCGTGACGCTGGGCAGCAACGTTGACAGAACCGGCAGCACGGAGCACCAGCACCACCGATAGTTGCGCTAACAGCACGGACGGCGGCGGCAGCAGCAGCAGCAGCAGCAGCGATAGAACCAGCAGGATGGGGCAGCAATGAGCGTGACGCCAGGGGCAGCATTCCGCCACGTGCAAACAAAACATCGAAAAAATCCCCAAGGAGCCGAGCGCTGTGGTGGGGGTGAGACATCACCTGATGATCGTCTCTCCCTGCGGCGGCAGCGCCGGCCTTTCGTGTGGCCTCACCGCCGCCCCCGTGCTTGCGCCGCCGCCGCCGCTCCCGGCGCCGCCGCCGCCGGGAGCGGCGGCCCCCGCCGCTTTCCTGCGCCGCTGGCGCTCGCGCTCCTCCTCCAGCCGAGCCTTCTCCGCCTCGTACCAGCGCAGCTGCTCCTCGCGCTTGCGCTCCGCGTCGGGCCCCGCGTCGCCGCCGTAGCCGGGCGACGGCAGCGACGGCGACGAAAGCGACGACAGCGACGAGGACGTGCCGCCGCCGCCGCCGCCGCCGCCGCCGCCCATCCCGCCCATCCCGTGCAGGGCGGACGCCGGCGGCGGAGGCGGCGGCGGCGGCGGGAGGTCGCGCGACTCGGGGCCGTACCCCGGCGGGTACCGCGTCGGCGGGGGCGGCGGCGGGAGGCCTCCCTGCTGGCCGCCGCCGCCGCCGTGCTTTGCCGGCGGCGCGCCGACGACGACGGGCGTCTTCCAGCGGCCCGGCCCCGTCTTGGCGGAGGCGGCGCCGCCCACGGCGATGCCGTACTGCGGCGCGCGGGCCGGCGGCGCCAGCTGCTCGTGGCTGGACGAGGAGGCGGAGGAGGAGAGGAGCGAGGAGGGCGGCTGCTGGCGCCGCGCTTGCTGCGGCCCGTGGTGGTGCGGCGGCAAAGGCGCCCCCGCACGGTAGGGGCGGTCTCGCCGAAGCTCCTCCTCGGAGTGCGCCGCTCTCTGCATGACGGAGGGCGGGAGGAGGAGAGGTTGCGGTGGACACGTGTGGTGGTTGGGGTGGTGGTGATGATGATGGTGGTGGTGGTGGTTGTGGTGATGATGGTGGTCGTTGTGGTGATGGTGGTGGTGGTGGTGGTTGTTGGAGGTGCTGCTGCTGAACCTGGAGCGTGCCACAAAATACCCAGCACCTGCCTGGGTATTTTGTGCTACCAAACACTCCGCCCCCTCTGCTCCCCATTGGTGATAGAGCAGTTGCTGTCCGGAAGCTACATGGTCTGTCGCTCCGCACGAAGCTTCGAGTCTTTTTGGTCACAGCCATGCCCTCCCTACTCTATGCTTGTGAAACGTGGACCCCCTCTAATGGAATATCTGCGCTGGTTAGAAACATTCAGGCTGGAATGCCTACGAACCACCCTGGATTTAACCAGTCTGGATTGTGTGAGGAGCTCGCAAATCCTTGATCTGGACACATTCCCATCAGTGGGCTCCTCCGGCAGGCAAGGCTGCACTGGCTGGGTAATGGAGCCCACATGCCCAGCCACCGCATGCCCAAGCAGTTTCTGTCTGGCTGGGGGGCTAAACGGGCATGACATGGGCTGAGTGGACTTCCGGAGACTGGTACCAGCGGTGTCAAGATCGGCCTCTGTGGAGGAGGCTCGTGAAGGACGCTGCTGGGCAGTTGGAGGCAGTCGCCCTCCAGCAACAACGGAGGGCAGAGGGGTGACGCTCACAACGAGCGGAGCGCCGGACGGCTAAAATGCAGCAAGTTGGCACAGTAGTGGGTACAGCTGGTGTGCATCTACCGGTCATCTCAGTCAGCCAACCCATGGCACCGGGGTTTGTCCCGACACTTCACGTGGCCTCAAAGTGCACCTGGCCTGGCACAGGCGCTGTGGTCACGTCACTATCACTTAGTGGCGAATGGAGGGTGTTGGTATTGGTGGTGGTTGTGGTAATGATGGCAGGTGGTATTCGTGGTGCTGCTGGTGGTTGTGGTGCTGGTGGTTCCCGCTCACGGCCAACACCAGTGACAATAATCTGAAAAGAGTCCTGGGCCTCTCCAAGGTCGACTCAGCCTCAAATGAGTACCCGGTGTGGTGTGTAGTAAACATCGCCACCGGGGAGGACAAAGGCAGCCAGCAGTGGTGCTGGCCACCCACCCCCTCGTGTGCCATGCCGGCCCTTCAGAGGTGCCACTCGCGAACAGCACTTGCCCCAACAGGCTGAGATCAGTGATCTCAGCCTAACAAGCTCCGTGCCAACCAGGCCTGGCCACACGAGCTGTGGTTACGTCACCGTGGCGGTGTTGGTACGCTGCTGTTGTTGTTGCTGCTGCTGTATTTATGCTTGCTGAACTTCTTTCGCACCATACATAGCCAACTGTGGTAACTGAAGGTGCGTGGGGGGAAGGACAACAAAACTAAACACAAAAAGCAATTATAAAGAAATCCGTTTTCAATTTTAGAGCCGAGTGGCTAACACCAGTGGCAATGTTTACACACCCTACGCACCAGGCACTCATTTGAGGCAGAGTTGACCTAGGGCAGGCCCAGGACCGGTTCAGATAATCGTCACCTGCTGCTGCTGCTGCGGTGGTGTCTCACCTGCATGCTGGAGGCCGCCCAGGCGGGGGAGCTGTCCGCGGGCGGGGGTGGCAGCGTGCTGTACTCGCGGGCGTAAGTGGCTGTGGGCACCGGGTAGGCCTCGAGCGACGGCGGAGATGGACTCTCCTGCACATGGCACGCACGCAACGGCACACACGCACGGCACACGCAATGGCACACAGACACGGAACACACGCACGGAACACGCACGACACAAAAAAAGACAAAGATCCCCCGTATAGCCTTAACAGACTGTAGGGGCAAGTGCTGTTAGCGAGCACCTATGAAGGCCGGAACGGTACACGAGGGGGTGGGTGGCCAGCACCACGCCCGACCGCCTTTGTCTCCCTAGTGGCAATGTTTACACACCGCACCAGGTACTCATTTGAGGCTGAGTCGACCTAGGGGAGGCCCGGGACCGGTTCAGATAATCGTCACTGGTGTTGGCCGTGAGCGGGAATCGAACCCGGGTCGCCAGGTACATAGCGCTGCGCGCTAACCGCTACACTATCGTGTGTGTCGTTGCACGACACGCACGCAACGACACACACGCACGACACACACGCAACAGCACACACGCACGGAACACGCGCACGGAACACGCGCACGGAACACGCGCACGGAACACGCGCACGGAACACGCGCACGGAACACGCGCACGGAACACGCGCACGGCACGGACGTCAGGTAGGCGCGAGGTGCAGTCTCGACAAGGTTACTGTAGCCAGGTGAGAACTCGTGGAACCGGGGTAGGGGTGTCAGAGTCAGTGCATGAGTGGATAGGCGGGTGAGCGGAGCGGTCGGTGGATGGGTGGGTAGGTGGGTAAGCAAAGTGAGCGGGGACGAGTGAGTGCGTGACATCAAGGGTGAGATGACGAGGAGGACTTTGTGGTAAAGAAATGCGAGCAGGTGCTGGACGACGAGGTGATGGGTGACGAGGTGACGGGTGACGAGGTGACGGGTGACGAGGTGATGAGGTGATGGGTGACGAGGTGATGGGTGACGAGGTGATGGGTGACGAGGTGATGGGTGACGAGGTGACGGGTGACGAGGTGCAGGGTGACGAGGTGCAGGGTGACGAGGTGCTGGGTGACGAGGTGATGAGTGACGAGGTGATGGGTGACGTGGTGATGGGTGACGAGGTGCAGGGTGACGAGGTGACGGGTGACGGGTGACGAGGTGCAGGGTGACGAGGTGCAGGGTGACGAGGTGCAGGGTGACGTGGTGATGGGTGACGAGGTGCTGGGTGACGAGGTGATGGGTGACGTGGTGATGGGTGACGTGGTGATGGGTGACGAGGTGCAGGGTGGCGAGGTGCTGGGTGACGTGGTGATGGGTGACGAGGTGCTGGGTGACGAGGTGCAGGGTGACGAGGTGCTGGGTGACGAGGTGCTGGGTGACGAGGTGCTGGGTGACGAGGTGCAGGGTGACGAGGTGCTGGGTGACGAGGTGCTGGGTGACGAGGTGCAGGGTGACGAGGTGATGGGTGACGAGGTGCTGGGTGACGAGGTGCTGGGTGACGAGGTGCTGGGTGACGAGGTGCAGGGTGACGAGGTGCAGGGTGACGAGGTGCTGGGTGACGAGGTGCTGGATGACGAGGTGATGAGTGACGAGGTGCAGGGTGACGAGGTGATGGTTGACGAGGTGATGGGTGACGAGGTGATGGGTCATGTGGTGATGAGTGACGAGGTGCAGGGTGACGAGGTGCAGGGTGACGAGGTGCAGGGTGACGAGGTGCTGGGTGACGAGGTGCTGGGTGACGAGGTGCTGGGTGACGTGGTGATGGGTGACGAGGTGCAGGGTGACGAGGTGCTGGGTGACGTGGTGATGAGTGACGAGGTGCAGGGTGACATGGTGATGAGTGACGAGGTGCTGGATGACGAGGTGCTGGCTGACGAGGTGCAGGGTGACGAGGTGCTCACCTCTGCTTTGAGGTTGCCAGTCGACACCGACTGGACCCTGCAGGCCGGGGCGCCGGGGTACACGGGGCGGAGACTGCCGCTGTCGGGCGAGTCTGTGGGGGAAGACAAACGACGGACGAGTTCGAAGGAGGATGGAACCCCAACGAGGTGGCTCAGCAACACGTGGCAATGGACAGCAGTCGCCAAGCACTCTAAACGCACCACGTTGATTCTAAACGTGGAGATAAAAACCGGAGGACCCGGAGAAAAATCCACGCGACCACCGTGGCAAGATCTCACTGCCGCAGACAGACAGGCAACACGAGACCAACGGTGCAAAAGCACCGTAACCTCTTGAGCGCTACGGCGTGGTCTCTGACGGCGACGGCGTGGTCTCTGACGGCGTGGTCTCTGACGGCGTGGTCTCTGATCGCTACGGCATGGTCTCTGATCGCTACGACGTGGTCTCTGACGGCGTGGTCTCTGATCGCTACAGCGTGGTCTCTGACGGCGTGGTCTCTGATCGCTACAGCGTGGTCTCTGACAGCGTGGTCTCTGATCGCGATGGCGTGGTCTCTGATCGTGACGGCGTGGTCTCTGACGGCGTGGTCTCTGATCACGACGGCGTGGTCTCTGATCGCGACGGCGTGGTCTCTGATCGTGACGGCGTGGTCTCTGACGGCGTGGTCTCTGATCGCGACAGCGTGGTCTCTGATCGCGACGGCGTGGTCTCTGATCGCGACGGCGTGGTCTCTGATCGCGACGGCGTGGTCTCTGATCGCGACGGCGTGGTCTCTGATCGTGACGGCGTGGTCTCTGACGGCGTGGTCTCTGATCACGACGGCGTGGTCTCTGATCGCGACGGCGTGGTCTCTGATCGCGACGGCGTGGTCTCTGATCGTGACGGCGTGGTCTCTGATCGTGACGGCGTGGTCTCTGATCGCGACGGCGTGGTCTCTGATCGTGACGGCGTGGTCTCTGATCGCGACGGCGTGGTCTCTGATCGCGACGGCGTGGTCTCTGATCGCGACGGCGTGGTCTCTGATCGCGACGGCGTGGTCTCTGATCGTGACGGCGTGGTCTCTGATCGTGACGACGTGGTCATTGATCGCGACGGCGTGGTCTCTGATGGCGTGGTCTCTGACCGCGACAGCGTGGACGCGCCCACTCACGCGCGACGTTGGGGGTAGAGCGGTGGTCTGCGCGGTTCTTCACGAGCCGATCGTCGCCGTGAGTGGCTGCGCCCTGCTGTTCCTGCAGCTGCTGGGCGTCGGTGTGGGTCTCCGCCGGCTCTTCTGGACTGTCGGGACGCGCCGAGCCGCGGTACAACTCCAGCCCCTCGCTCTTGGGCCTAGCCTTGCCACCGGTGCGATGGTCAGATCCTGCGACGCATGCACACGCGCGCGCACACACACGCACACAACGATCCCCCCGTGTAGCCTAAACAGACTGTAGGGGCAAGTGCTGTTAAGCGAGCACCTATGAAGGCCATGCACGCACACACACACACACGCACACAGACGCGCATACACGCGCACACGCACACAAAGATCCCCCGTATAGTCTTTAACAGACTGTTGGGGCAAGTCCTGTTAGCGAGCACCTATGAAGGCCGGCACGGCACACGAAGGGGTGGCTGGCCAGCACCACGCCCGGCCTCCATTGTCTCCCTAGTGGCGATGTTTTACACACCGCACCAGGTACTAATTTGAGGCCGAGTCGACCTAGGGGAGGCCCGGCACCGGTTAAAATAACCGTCACCGGTGGTGTTGGCCGTGAGCAGGAATCGAACTCGGGTCGCCGGGTTCGTAGAGCAGCGTGCGTTAACCCGCTACCACTACGTCATCAATTAAAAAAAAATATATTATCCGTACCGAGGATCCCACAAGGCCATGCGGGAGGGGGCGTGGCACAGTTTGGCGCCAGCTATCGTAGAGCGTGGTCGTGTTGCTACGGTTCACTGCGGTTGAGTGAAATGTCTTTAAAAACCAGCGGCGCTACGCCCCTCGAAATAAATTGAACACCGAGCCGCTCGGGGCGTTCCGAGATTCGGGATCTTTGTCCTCTTTGTGAGCTCCCTGCGCGCGCACCCACTGCACTCTCTGTGTGTACCCACCACCTCTGTGTGCTCTCTGTGTGTGTGCTCTGTGTGTGTGTGCTCTCTGTGTGTGTGCTCTATGTGTGTGTGTGTGTGTGCGCGCCCACCTCTGTGCTGTGTGGTGGGCGAGGGCTCGTTGAGCAGGGTGGCCAGGCCGTGGTAGATGGCTCCCTGCTTGGCGATCTCCAGCGTCACCACCGAGCCGGTGCGTGTCATCAGCTCGGCCGCCCTGCGCGCGATGCGTTGATGTTATCGTCACATCATCCGTCGTAGTCATCAACTCGTCATCGACAGAAATAATCACGAGCATCACGAGCATCGCAATCATCATTGCCACATTACCAACGTGACCATCATCTCGTCATAAAAATCGTCATTATCATCATCGTCGTCATTGTTGTCATCAACGAAATAATCACGAGCATCACGATCATCACGATCATCATTGCCACATTATTAACACAATCATCACGTTGTCACGAAGATCGTCGTCGTCAGCGTCCCATACGAACTGTGACCACGTTACGTCCAGTTTTAATTGGCGTTGTGTTGACACAAGACGGTCCATTCGGAAGTCTCGCAGAGCAGTGCAGCCCATCTCGTTAGAGTGTCTGAGCGAGTGTGTGTGGGTGTGTGGGTGCACCTAGCCTGGCACAGGCACCGTGGGTAACGTCGCCGCTACTTAGTGGCGAACGGCAGTTGCTGTTGTCTGGGCAAGTGGGTGAGAGAATCGGTGACAGTGAGCATTTGAGCGAGTGAGTGTGTGAGCGAGTGTGTGCGCGCGCGAGTGAGTGTGTGTGCACGAGTGAGTGTGTGTGCACGAGTGAGTGTGTGCACGAGTGAGTGCGAGTGTGTGCGATTGTGAACGAGTGAGTGAGACGGCACCTCTCTTGAGAAAGGCCGACCAGGCTGTTCCCATCAACGCTGAGCAGCTGATCCCCAGCTGCCAATCGCCCGTCCTACACAAGCACAAAGACAAAGATCACCGGCAAAGCCTCTACTGAACGTTGGGGCAAGTGCCGTTAGCGAGCAGCACCTATGAAGGCCGGCACGGCGCAACGAGTGGGTGGGTGGCCAGCACCACTCCCGACCGCCTTTGTCTCCCCAGTGGTGACGTTCACACACCGCGCACCAGGCACTCATTTGAGTCCGAGTCGACCTAGGGGTGAGGGGCCCGGGACCGGTTCAGATAATCGTCTGGGGATCGAACCTGAACTGACCTGGTCAGCAGCGCCGCCTTTGACCACCGACTTGATGTAGATTCCCAGCTTGTCCAAACCGGCACCCTGCGAGCAGGAGAGAGGGCGACATCGCGAGCGGGTTGAGTGCTGTTAGCGAGCACCCTACTAATAAGGCTGACACTACAGCAGGGTAATTGGAGAATGCAGCACAACGCCGAAGGTCCCCCCCCGTGTAGCCCTCAGAGGCTGTCGGGGGCAAGTGCTCGTTAGCAAACAGCACCGATTAAGGCGGATACTACAGCTGGGAAACTGGGAATTGCAGCGCAAAGACAAAAATGCCCCGTGCAGCCTACAAAGGCTGTCGAATCCACGCCTCCTGTATACCAGGCGGAGTAGTCAACATCTCGCCCGCGACACCGCCGGCAGGAAAAGGGCCATCCACTAGAGCGAACTGTATTTGGCCTTCTCTTCCACGTCGACCGGGTTCTGTTGCCGCAAGGGGGATGGGAGTGCCCACACTTTAGCGCACCGCCGCAACGTGGCCTGCCGATCCGTAGAGCAAAACTGCCCAGGGCGGGACCCTTTAACGCGCTGCCACCGGGAGTGTGATAGAGGTGGCGGCGGCGGTGGGTGGGTGGGTGGTGCGAGGGGATCTTCTTTTACATTCATTTTTATTGGAGGCAGCGTGCGAGGCCCCGTTACATCACCACATTGTGACGCACGTACGCACGCACACACACACGTATGCGCGCACACACACACATGTACACAAAGATCCCCCTTATAGCCTGAACAGACTGTTGGGGCAAGTGCTGTTAGCGAGCACCTATGAAGGCCAGCACGGCACACGAGGTAGTGGGTGGCCAGCACCACGCCCGGCCGCCTTTGTCTCCCCAGTAGCAATGCTTACACTCCCCGCACCAGGTACTCATTTGAGGCCGTGTCGACCTAGGGGAGGCCCAGGACCGGTTCAGATAATCGTCACTGGTGTTGACCGTGAGCGGGAATCGAACCCGTGTCGCCGGGTTCGTAGCGCGGCGCGCTAACAGCTACACCACCGCTTCCCCGCGTAAACGCACACACGTAGAACACACACCGTCAATATAGGCCAAGCCATGAAAATTAAGAATGGGTGTTTATCCTTCCTGCGATGAAATAGGGGGGTGTTAAGATGTTCAAACATCAAATAGATTCCTTTTGCAAGGAATCAAGTCTGCACAGACCACACACAAGGCACTCGCGTTTTTGCATGCACACAAAACATTATCTGATAATGTGTGCGTTGTCTTTTGAGCAGGGGGGAGATGTAGAAAGATGGGGAAACAGGCTCACTGCCCCCCCAAACCATATTGGGTGAGGGGGGGGGGGGTGCCGAGGGGGTCCCCACTGAAAAGAGAAAGGGTGACTTTTGTTTTTAAAGTAAGGAAGAAGGGGTGACAACAAGGGGCAGCGCGAGAGGGGTGTAACCCGAAACACGGCTGGCACAAAGAAAATAAAAAGTAATGTTAATTTTTTTATCAACACGCTTTCATGAAATGTACCGTACTAGTAATGGAAGAACTCCACGACTCCAGGAAGTGGCCCCGAAGTTTGCCACAACGTAAGGGGACCGTGGGCAATTACAGCCAACGTCGGTTGAGCGTGGACAATTAGACCCAAGCCGAAACATAACATAAAAAAGTTTGTTTAAAAATGTTTTTCTTTTATTTTTTGTATGATAGAATATCGTATTGTCATCGGTATGACATAAGTATATCAAGTTTGCAGTCGATACCACATTGGGAAGTGGGTTAAAATTGAGTTACAAGATTTGAGGATACAACAACGACAACAACAACAACAGACAGAGCGAGTTAAATAAAAGCGTGTAAAAAACATAAGAGGTGACATTAAACGGGAATTTTTTGGTATTTCCACCCCTCCGGCTCCAGTCTAATCTGCAGCGGCTGTGCCCTCTTAAGTCCTTGTTTCACGGTGAGGGGATTAAAAAAAAAACACACACACACAGCTGCTCGATAAAATCTTGACTTAAAAGCTTTCGTGACTGCAAGGAATTCATAAATCTTTGGCTCTTTCGGTAAAGTCACGGAGAACAAAAAAAAAATTAACAAAAAAATTTGTCCTACGTTGTTTCAACTGCCAGTGGCCCGGAGATGGGGGTCTAACCGGTAAACCCTCTCGCGGTTGCGAGGTCAGTGCGTTACCAAGAAAAAAAAACCCCCTTACGGCGCCGCCTTCTATAAACAGATCGCCGCCGTGTGAATTTGTCGCTCGTAAAATAATGCTAGCTGATACACGCGCACACACGCACACACACAATGTTACGAACGTAAATTTAAAAAAATGTTTTGGGGCTCCGAATTAAAGACGGCTTCTGCCCTCTATAAAACGGTAAAAGGTCAAAGCTACAAAATGTCAGGATCACGTCGCCGTAAATACGCCACGCTACGCTTGAGCTGGTGACCGGCGGAGGAGGGGTTGGGGCGTGATTTAAGGGCGTTGGTCTCGGGTGTGGGCAAGCGGAGGGGCTGACCATACTTCACCACGCTGGTCAGCGTGGGTTGGTGTCGGAAGCACATGTGATCTCGCCAGTCGCCAATTACTCGACTGGCGATGGGTGCCCCCCGATGCAGCACATCTACTCGGGTCTACAGCATGAAAATAATAATTATTACCGCAATTATCATAATTGTTTATAATTATTCTAATAGTACCGGAGTGGCAGCCCAACAATGGAGTGTTCCAGGGGACATCCACCGAGGCGACGGAGCGATGAAATCAGCTGTGGTGCAGGTGACGGATCGATTGTTGCGTCGCAGGATCGTTGGGGGGTGGCGGTGGCCTGGGAGGCCCTCATCCAGCAGTGGACTGACCAACAATGAACGAATGTACACGCGGTAGATCAACAACAACAACCGCCATTCGCCACTAAGTGGCGGTGACGTCACCACGACGCTTGTGCCAGGCCACGTGCACCTTGAGGCCACGTGAAGTGTCGAACGCCCGCTAGCAGGAGGTCACGGGGCAGACCCAGCAGGTGCCACGGGTCGACTGACTGAGATGACCGAGCGGTAGATCACCCCCCCCCACCAACCCTCCCACCCATCCATCCATTTCTCTACCCATCCACGTCTCCACCACCCATCCATGCCCCCACCACCCACCGTTAAACATGACAAATGTACGTACTGTAGCAATGGTGATCGCACTGTGCTATGAAACCAGTGACCCCACACTTTGCTTCCCGGCCACCTCTAACAGCGGCAGTGAGTGATGTCTCAGCCACCGGTCCCCCCCACTCCCCTACCCTTCACCAACTACACACTGACCAGCGTGGTGAAGTATGCCCCCCCCCCCCCCTGCCCCGTGACCGCCGGGGCATCGTGCGACCTTCACGCAAGCTTGACACAAAGCACTGTAACTGCACTTGCAAGTCCCTCGTTCAACGCGCTAGCAGTAGGCGACATACCTATCAACCCCTATGTGTTGACAAGCATGCTACAACACTACACATTACACTACGACATACCTGTCAACCCCCTATCAGAGCCTCCCTTATTACAGACCAATGCAGACTTTATTGGTCACCCCGTGGCCCTTATACAAAAATCTCAACGTTCATCCAATAAAGTCCCATCACGACGGGGGAAAACACACAAACGAATGAGACAAAAACATTTTGTTGCCCGTATCGCAACGGCTTCCACGCCACATGGACCCGCTGAGGGTAACGCCACCACCGTGTTACCGTTTCACTACGCGTACCGTATCCCCGTACCGTTTCAGCGGCGCAGCTCAAAGAGGTAGGTCGCCGTTATGTGACGGCGCGCGCTCTCCCGCGCGATAACGGCGTCCGTTGCCACGTTATATTAGAGGCGCCGCGTTGCCGAGATGTTAACTACCTCGCCTGGTGTACGGGAGCTCGCGGATTCAATCCCGACCGTGACGCGTGTACAGTTGGCGTTTGCGTGCGTCTCTCTCTCTCTCTCTCCCCGTGGTCGAGCGGATTTTTCTCCGGGTCCTCCGGTCTTTCCCTCCACGTTCAGAATCGACGTCACGCGTTTAAGGGCATTTCGGCTTCCGCCAAGAATTTCCACACGACGGCGATGAGCCACTACTACTACTACGCCGAGCCATCATTAGCGATAGCCGGTTGGTCGCTTCTGCAATAAGAGCTACGCGAGTGAGTGGACCTCTTTACACACCTGGCAAAATTAAAATAATAGTTAAGTTATTTTTGGAGGTTTTTTTTTTTTGACCGCGAGCGCCGAAAGTCAACGTTGGCCACGATGTTTTTGTTCGGGCGGGCGAGGGCGGGGCGGCGGGGTGCAACTCCGGTGGGCGGTGTGAAACGGGGCGAGGGTGGGGCAGTGATGGCGCTCTGCTGCACGGCGCAAAAAGATCTTCCTTCGAGAAGATATATCGGAATCAGAATTTACCGTCTCCGGTAAATTGTGTTAAGATGTTCAAACACCAAATACTGCACTAACCCGCACGTACGTGCGGCCAAAACATGACCCTGTGAAAGGTATCTTATTTGGCGTTTGAACGTCTTAACGCAGCTCCTGTTTGTGTTGCCAGAAGGGGGTAAAAACCCTATTCTTATTTTTAATCATTTTAGATGCTGGGGAAAATGACCCCACAGAATCATCGGAATCTTTGTTTAGACTACAGGAGGAGGAATCTGATGAGCTGCTAAGCTCTTTATCACAGATGTCCGGTATGGGGAGGGGGGCATGGGGATCAACGACTTTACAACACCAAACGACAACAAATAGATAGTTGTGCAAATTTAGATAAGATGGTAAAAGCAAGTCAATAAATGTTAATAAACAATAAATACGTTAAATTGGTTAGTCCGATTTATCAAGATTGGGTAAGCCAGCAGAAACAACAACAACAGTGTCCCAGACCACAGCAAGATAATGCCACAGAGTAGCAGTCCCTCAAAACGACATCACATTAACATTGAAGCATTGATAATACACAGAGTAATGATCAAACTTACACATCACGTGACCTCAAGCAGTGGATTGGTGTCGGACAGCCGCACATTTGCAAACGTAATTTTTAAACCCTGATCATTACCACCCGTGCAAAGTATG